AGTTATATATTAATCTTAATAGTAAGTTTAATATAAAATAAAAAGTCCTTTAGTAGGTTAATAATCTTAATAAGTTTATCCTTAACGTTATCCTTAAGTCCTTAGTAAAAAGTAAAGATTAGTAATTCTTAAGTAATATTAAGTTAAGTAGCTAGTTATTAGAATTTAGCTATATAGTAAGAGGCTAACTTAGTTTATTATAGGCTAGCTAGGTCTTACTTAGCTTATTACTTCTTATTAGGATCTTAAAATAGTAACTATAAGGCTTTTATAAAGCTAGTTATACTTCTAAAGATATTTTATATCTTATAAAAGCAGATAGTAAGGTTACTATTATACTTAATAAATTCTTTTATATAAGGTTTATATTAAGAGAATACTTTTCTTTATAAGAAAGTTCTTATATAGATTATTTATTTAGTTTTACTTTTAAAATTAGTAGTATAAAAAGTCTAATAAGTATATACTTAAATTAAAAATCCTTTTAGTTATTTACTAGTACTATTATAAGTACTAAGTAAATTAAGTTTAAGTTTATTATATCTTTTTATAAGGGTAGTAATAATATTAGCTACCCCTTATAAGGTGTAGTTATCTTTCTTAAGTTTAGTAACTTCTCTCTTTTTTTCCTTAAGCTTAGTTAAGGTAGTAGTAATTATAAATTAAAGTTTATAAACTTTATTACTTTTACCTTTAAGTTTATTCCTAAGTTTATTTATTATAGTCTATATCTTAGCTATATTAGTATTATTTCTTTTAATTTAGCCTATAATAATACTATAGGTTTATTAAGTGTAACCTAGTTCTTTATCTAATACTTTAGTGCCTTTTATCTTATTATCTAGGTTTTATATAGAAGTAGCTAAGGGCTTCCCCTTACTTAAGCTAGATAAAGTAAAAGTAGTTTATAGTATAAATATCTTATTATATTTTACTATTAGGTAAGTATTAAGGTTAACTTACTTAATAGAAGTAATTAAAGTGTTATAGCTAGTTTCTAAATAGTAAGGTTTCTACTAATAGTAAGTAAAAGTTAATACTTAGTTAATAGTGTTTATTATTCTTACTAGTCTTATTAATTACTTAGTAATTAGTTAAGTAGTTAAAAGCGTCTTAGTGCTTATATAGCTTCTTATTAATTAAATTACTAAGGTTAAATACTAAAAGCTATTTAAAGAATATATTATAAGTTAATTACTAAAAAGCTATAGAAGTCTGTCCTTAAGTGCGTCTAAGTCTATCCTATATATAAGTCCTAGCTATTCCCTAAACTACCTATTATTTAATTATTATAAGGTAAAATAAGCGTCTTTCTAGGTATCTACTAAGCACTTATCTTATATATAAATAAGCGCTTATTCCTTATCTTATCCTACGCTTATAGTTATATTATAAGAGGATTAGCTAAAGGCCTTAATTAGGAAAGAAGATAGATATTAAATTAATTAATTAATTAATTAATTAATAGGTAGGGGTATCTATAGATATAGAATTTAACTTAGCTACTTTAGCTAGCTAGGTAGGCTAAAAAGTAATATAGTCTAGCTAGGCTAACGTATTGCTAATTAGCTAGCGATTAACTAATCTATAGGCATTCTGCCCCTTAGCCTAGGGATATTATTATAATTAACCTCCCTTCCTAGAAGGTCTAGTCTTTAGGCCGTACGCCTATTATTAATTAATAGTGGTAGGATTTAAACCTTTTTAATTATAACAGTTAGGTGTTAATAACCCTTATCGCTAAGTAATTAGCGGCTAGTTAGCAGACTTTATAAGGCCCTTATCTGCTTCTTTGTAGGATTTAGTTAGGTGTTTAAAACCCTTATCTGCTTATTAGTAGGATTTAATTAGATAGGATTTAAACCTAATAGTTAGGTGTTTAAAACCCTTATCTACTTATTAGTAGGATTTAGTTAGGTGGTTAAAACCCTTATTACTAAACAATTAGCAGCTAGTTAGTAAGCTTATAAGGCTCTTATCTACTTATTAGTAGGATTTAGTTAGGTATTATTAACCTTTATTACTAAGTAATTAGCAGCTAGTTAGTAAGCTTATAAGGCTCTTATCTACTTATTAGTAGGATTTAGTTAGGTATTATTAACCTTTATTACTAAGTAATTAGCAGCTAGTTAGTAAGCTTATAAGGCTCTTATTTACTTATTAGTAGGATTTAATACTATTTATTATTAGATATATTAACGTTATAATAACTAGCCTTAATTTAGGCTCTTACTTAGGCCACTACTACTAACTATTCTTTCCTTTAGCAGATAGTCTCTATATAGCCTGTCTTATAGCAGTATATACATATAGCGTTACTATAGCACTTCTTAGCACTATAGCCTACTTTACTATACTTATTACAAGTAGCAAGGGGTAGTCTGGCCTTATTAGGCTAACGCCTTTTTGCTAACAGCTTGCTAAGCGGCAGGAAATTAGCAGAGCTTTCTACAGAGGTCCGGCTTAGAGCCTAGTCAGATACCTAGTTATTCCAGTCAGCCTAGAGCTCCCATAGTCTTTTAGCAGTAAGGGCAATGTCCCTTAGCCTCTAGGCAGAGTGCTTTTACTACACTAGTGCCCTCTATAACCCTAGTTACAGGCAATAGAAAAACAAGAAGGCCAGAGGCCAATTCTCCTCTAGGTTAACAGTGCCTAGAGCCTAATAGATTGCCGACCATTCAGCAAAGAACCGCAACAGTGGCTGGCCAGGCTGCTGCCAGGCCTCATAGAGCTAGCCATAGAGACAACGCTCTTAGAGCTCTAGATCAACATGCGATCAGCGAATAAACGCTTTAAAGGCGGCCCAAAGCCTTACCTCACTACCCTTAGCAGCTTAATGATTTCTCCATTACGTCTGGAGCGTCAGGGTCACCTTCATAAGAGCCCATTCAATATAGTGGCTGCTCAGGCATGCTGTCCTCTTGCAGGGTGCCGCACGCGTATGCTAGCGGGCGCTTGTATTACTTCTCAGCCGGATAGGCCGGGCGGTCGGCAAGCAATCGCAAAAGGGCCACATTTTAATCCTAGATCGTCCGCATTAGCTCTATAACAAATAGAGTAGATAGGGCTAGGGATGGCTCTGATGATTCTGGTCGGCGAGCGGTCGCCAAAGATCTGGTTAATCAGATTGGTTAGGATTACAATAATTCGTTATCCATCTTCTGGGCCAATTGCCTCGTGGAGGTAGAAGTTAAATAATTATAAGAGGATTAGCTAAGGGCCTTAATTAGGGAAGAAGATAGATGTTGAATTGATTAATTGATTAATTAATTAATTAATAGGTAGGGGTATCTGTAGATAAAGAATTCAACTTGGCCACTTCAGCTGGCTGGCCAGGCTGAAGGGTAATATGGTCTTGGCCGGGCCGACGTATCGCCGATCCTCTGGCGATTAACCGATCCATGGGCATTCCGCCCCTTGGCCCAGGGATATTGTTATATATATAACTTATACTATAGTTCTTCTGTTCTAGGGAGTTATCTGTCTATCCCTATCCTTTCTGTCTGTATAAATACTGCTGTTGCCTACCGTCTGCCTGTTAGGTGGGGTAACATAGCCTGTAACTTGTTAGGTTGTAACATCTGCTTAGTCTAATTAAGCCTTAAAGTCTCTAATTAGTATTAAAAGCCTAATTAGAGCCCTAACGTTTATTATAATTAGTCTATGTACCTAAGTTACTTTAAGTTATAAGGTGTTATAGTGTTTGTTTATACTTTACTATTATAACTAGAGTCCTTAATTACACTACTGTATGCTTTTACTATTATAATCCTTACTATTTAATAACTATAAAGAGTAAATCTCTATAGGTCTATATCTAGAAGTAAAGGTTATACTAAATATCTTATATATATATTAGTATTATTTTAAGGTTATATATAAGGTTATAGTTATATAAGAATTAGCTATTACTAAGGTAGTAATATAGTTAACTATATATATTAATAAGTAGTAATAAATAATAAGAAGTTAAAATAAGTTTTAAATTATATATAAAGTAGAAAACTATTATAGGATTATATAGTAAATCTGCTACATAATATACCTATAGATCTAGTATATCTATAGTAAAATTACTATTAAATCCCCCTATAGATCTAGTGGATTTTATAGTAAACAGGCTATAGTTATTATAGCTGCTTTATTAGCGTTAATCTATACCACTAATATCTAGGCAATAATCAACATCGTAACAGATTCATTTATATTACCTCGCTACTAGGAGACGAATCCGGAGCCGGTAATATGGACCGGGCCGGAGACCTGTGGCGCCGGCTCTAGGTGGCCAATGGCGGCTATGGCAGTGACAATGACGAAACCAAGTTTAAAACGCATCCTGGCGGTTATACTGTTACCTAGTCTTTCATTATAACCTACAAGTACTGCATCCCAATGACGTACGCTGGTTAATTAGAGTGCTGTACGCGGAAACTCGGCTTCTGAAACCAGAGACAAACTGCATAATACGACTACCATAACTGTCATGAGCTCTCTCTACAGCGGCGAAACGTCGGGATCTATTTCTCATCCAACGCCGGGGAAATAGATCTGCAACATTCTAGCAGCACAGCATTCGCTTTCTCCTAAACACCCACGACGTTCTGGCCGGTTCATAGGCCATTGTCGCGGGCCTCCAACGTCCAAGCACCAAAGGGAACCCCAGCAAACCATAACCAAACGCCAATTGGCTCGCGCCCATATCCGATTCCCCGTTCGGGCCTGGTGGGGCCGGTCCGAAGGGCAATCAGGCGAAGCCGCCCGCAACCAAATTTTTCCCACAGCGAGCGCAGGCGAAAGCCTCAACCGCCACATCCTATGCACCACACTCACTCACTTACTCATTCACTCATGTCGCTCTCACCTCTCACTGAGTCACTCACTTGCTCCTTCACTCATAACCGTGCAAACTCACCACATCGAACCCCACCCCTACGCTCTCGTGCGCATCCGCCCGTGGCGCCGGCGTGGCGATGTCTTCTTCAGCGCTCGGCGTGCACAGCATGTCTCTTGGGTTTCACAGCGCAGTGACCCTTGTCCGCGACTCGGTGCTGCTCACGTCCATATCCCTGCTCCTTGTCACGCTCGTCATCATCGGGTACCGTCTGCTCCTCCACCCCCTTGCTCGCGTCCCCGGGCCCAGGTTGGCGGCCATTTCCAATGTCTGGTACGCTTGGCAAGTTCGCAACGGGCGGATGCTGAAGTTGGGTAAGAGGCTGCATAAGCGCTACGGCCCAGCTGTGCGCGTTGGGCCTAACGAGGTCTGGTTCGATTCTGCAGATGCTTTCAAGCATATTTACCGTATGCTCATTGACAAAACTTACTTTACGGTTGAGCGATGACTAACTTGTACCCAGGTGCTGGCAGTGGCTACGACAAGTCCGACTTTTACCGTACGTGCTCTGCCAGGGCCTCTGGGAACATATTACAAGACACCACACTTACCGTCATCAAACAGTATCTACTGCGCTGCAGAGGCCGGACATCACTTACACCCCCCTGCCGACATTTACATCCCCCGATACCCTCGACCTGCTGTCCGAACGCGACACGGAGCGGTACCGCCTCCAACGTCGACTAATAGGACCCCTCTACCAAACCGCACATCTGAAGCGCCACGAACCAGCGCTCGATGCCGTGCTTGAGAGGGTCATCGCCACCCTCCGCTCGCTAGACGGCGCCGAGGTTGACTTGAAGGAGTGGATGCACATCATCGCGGTCGAGTCCCTCTCGGCCATCGTCCTTTCCTGGTCGCCCAACTACCTCCGTGACAGGACGGACCACGCGTCCAGCAGCCACGGATACATGGGCTGGCGCCGCAAGTCCGTCTTCGGGCTCTTTCCCCTCGCTGTCCGGGCGGAGCTGCTCTCTAAGGCGCTCGGGCGCGCGTTTGCTAATATCTGGCGTGTGACGTACAGGACGCCCCGGAACTTTAGGCCCTTCTTCACGGGCGTCTACAGGCAGGTCTCGCGGCGTGTGACGGCTGCCCTCGCGGGCAAGCCGGTTCCGAAGAACGACCGCAAGGACGACTTCCTTTCAGACCTGATCCGGCTGCATAAGGACAAGCCAGAGTTCTCCGAGGCGTACCTGCGCCGCATGGCCATCACTAACTTCGGCGCCGGTCACGAGACCATGTGCTCAGCGCTGACGTCCATCATGGCCACGATCGGGTCCCACGCGGAGGTGCAGCGGAGAGCGGCCGAGGAGGTGCGCTCGGCGGCTGTGGATCCCAAGGTGTACGACAACGCCGTGCGTCTGTTATACACCCAGGCGGCCATTAAGGAGGCTCAACGGCTTTACCCTGTCCTCGGGATGGCGCTGCCCCGCACGGTGCCTCCCGAAGGCCTCGCCGTCCACGGGCGGACGTTCCCGCAGGGGACGACCGTCGGGTGCAACCCCGTGTCCCTGCACAGGAACACAGCCATCTTTGGGGACGATGCCGAAGAGTATAACCCGGACCGCTGGCTGGACGCGGAAAGAGACGTCAAGTCCATGGAGCGTTTCAACCTCACCTGGGGCGGCGGGGGCAGGATGTGTCCCGGGCGACACCTCGCCGAGCTGGTGGTGTACAAGACCATCCCTGCGTTACTGGAGCACTTTGACGTGGAGGTTGTCATGCCGCCTGAAGAGGAGATACAGTACTACTTCATGGCGATGCTTACGGGTGTGAGAGCCCGGTTCGTGGCGAAAATCAAGAAGGAATGATACCAGCGGGCCAAGGTTGAAGTGGTTTATATGGTGATTGATGTGGATGCTGTACCATTAGGCTTCGAGGCATGAGCTGATGCGGCAACGAGAGATGGATCGAGAGCACCTGCAAGAATTGCACTTTTTGTCACGAGAAACGAGGAAAATGAAGGAGCGGTTATCAAGGAATTACTAGAATAAACAGATTCCATGTTCTCACGACACACGACAAGGGTAACCATCCCAAGTAGCATGGTAATCTTTCCGGAAACATCAAGGAGGAGGTGGTGGTTGTGAATTTCCTATCTACTCAAAGTGTCAGGCAGGAGTTTTTGAATATCGACGATTTTGGTGGTGTTTAATGACTGTGGAAATGTCTGAATAGTCGAGTGGCCGGATTATGAATACAACATTGAAGTACGCAGAAAGGGCGAACACACGACGAACTTGATCTTGACGGAGACGAATTCCTTAGATATCTCTATAAAAGCTGAGACGATTTCCAGGTGTCCAGAATCTCTTCCCAAGCGTCAGTTATATTCGGATGGAGCCGTTGAATGCATATGATGATGAGAACCATATGGCAAAAGGTCAGAACGCAGATAAGTAATTATTAGCACTGGTATTTCCACAGTGCCCAATCTACAGTTTAAGCGAGACATTTGAACTGTATACAAAGTACCTGACGTTTCCTGGAGAAACGGTGCATCCGACGTCCCGCGAACCGCAATCCCCCCCACACTTCACTTCAGACTCGCCAGTCAGAGGCATGGATTCCGAGTTTCTGGTGGCGCCGGCGTAGCTTTAGCGTAGCAATCGACATCCATCCCACCTCCAAATTCCCATTTGCAACACGTCGCCAGCCTCGAACGCATCGCATCACCAAAAGAACCCAAAGTCGGCTCGATAGCCGCAAACCGCCCGCCATGGTCCTCCAAGATCTCGGTCGCCGCATCAACACGGCCGTCTCGAATCTCACCAGAGAGCCCAATCTCGACGAAAAGGTGCGTCCGCCGCCCCTCTCCTCTCTGTTCCTACCCCCCTCACCCCGCAGAACCCCCTTGGTCGCATCGCCACCGGTTGGCAGAGATAGGCAGGCACAGTTATACTAACGGACGGCTCTCTCCCGCCCCGCGTTACAGGCTTTCGATGGCATGCTCAAGGAGATCTGCGCCGCCCTGCTCGAAGCAGACGTCAACGTGCGCCTCGTCGGCCAACTGCGAAAGTCCATCAAGAGCACCGTCAACTTCAAGGAACTCCCACCCGCCGTCAACAAGAAGCGTCTGATCCAGAAGGCCGTCTTCGATGAGCTCGTCAAGCTCGTCGACCCCCACGCCGAGCCCTTCAAGCCCAAGAAGGGCAAGTCCAACATCGTCATGTTCGTCGGCCTGCAGGGTGCCGGCAAGACGACGACGTGTACGAAGCTCGCACGACACTACCAGGCCCGCGGCTTCAAGGCCTGTCTCGTGTGCGCCGATACCTTCCGTGCCGGTGCCTTTGACCAGCTGAAGCAGAACGCCACCAAGGCCAAGATCCCCTACTACGGCTCGTTGACCGAGACGGATCCCGCCGTCGTCGCCAAGGAGGGCGTAGACAAGTTCAAGAAGGAAAAGTTTGAGATCATCATCGTCGACACTTCGGGAAGGCACAGGCAAGAGGAGGCACTGTTCCAGGAGATGGTGGACATTCAGACGGCGATCCGGCCCGACGAGACCATCATGGTACTCGACGCATCCATCGGTCAGCAGGCCGAGTCGCAGGCCAAGGCCTTCAAGGAAGCGGCCGACTTTGGTGCCATCATCATCACCAAGACGGACGGTCATGCCTCGGGCGGTGGTGCCATCTCCGCCGTCGCTGCAACACATACGCCCATCGTCTTCATCGGCACGGGCGAGCACATGCTCGACTTTGAGCGCTTCGCGCCGCAGCAGTTCGTCTCCAAGCTGCTCGGCATGGGCGACATGGCCGGCCTAGTCGAGCACGTCCAGAGCCTGAAGCTGGACCAGAAAGACACGATAAAGCACATCACTGAAGGCATCTTCACGGTGCGCGACCTGCGGGACCAGCTCTCCAACATCATGAAGATGGGCCCGCTGTCCAAGATGGCGGGCATGATCCCGGGCATGAGCGGCATGATGCAAGGGATGGACGACGAGGAGGGCAGCGCGAAGCTCAAGCGTATGATCTACATCTGCGACTCAATGACGGACAAGGAGCTCGACTCGGACGGCAAGATGTTCATCGAGCAGCCGACGCGGATGACGAGGGTGGCCCACGGGTCCGGCACGTCGGTGCGCGAGGTCGAGGACCTGCTGACGCAGCAGCGCATGATGGCGGGCATGGCCAAGAAGATGGGCGGCAACATGAAGAACATGCAGCGCGCGCAGTCGGCCATGGCCGGTGGGAACAAGGCCCAGCAGCTGGCGGCCATGCAGAAGCGCCTGCAGAGCATGGGCGGTGCCGGGGCCGGCGGCGGCGGCATGCCGGACATGGGCAGCCTCATGAAGATGCTAGGCGGCGGCGGTGGCGGTGGCGGGATGCCCGACATGTCGGCCATGATGCGGCAGATGGGCATGGGCGGCGGTATGCCCGGCATGCCGGGGATGCCGGGGATGCCGGGAGGTGGCCGAGGACGCCGGGGTTAAAATTCACAAACTTCTTTCTTCCCTTTTTCCTGTTTCCCTTTTTTCCCACCTTGTTGTTTTATCCATATCTTTTCCGGTGGTGAGAGAGTGGGAGAGGGATGACGCCTAAGAACATATCCATACAAATGATGTTGCATCATCAGAGCGACCGAAAGTCGAGAGACCACAGGAGGGGGGGGGTGGAGGAGATACACCACTTGGCTGAAGACACGACGGTGAAACTCGGAGTCGTTAGGGGGCGGGACCACATTCGGAGCCCTCTTTTACTCTCATAGGCTTGGCGTTTAGGAGGTCGAAATGCAGCAAAAAGAAGTCTCTCAACCCTGAAGACAATGCTACACTACTCTATGGATTTGGTGTGCCGGGTTCGATGCCATCCGTCCGTTCTGCTTCGTCGTTTGTTATTTTTCTGCCTAGGACGGAGAACGTCCGACCCGGGGCGTGTCGATGGCTCGCAACGAGGCAAAGCCGGCAGGTCATGGATTGTCGGAATGATGGTGATTGGCAGTGATCTGATCTGGTGGGCCGCGTGATGTGGTGAGTGTGTGCGTGTATGCGTGTGGCATGGGGAGGAAACAAACTTGGGCGCAGGATGACGTCGGCAAGGCCCCGCTGTCTCGTCCTCGTCCCATGCTTGTCCTTTGGAATTTAAAAGTCTTTTTTTCTCTCTCCCCCTTGTAGGTAGAGATGTCCAACCGACGTCATCCCGCCTCCGACGCGCGTGGGTATTCACCTGTAGGTCCGTTCCCATCGCCTGGAACCCCTGTCACCGGCACTGGAGAGCCGAGTCGCCCAATCAGAGCCTCGGAACGCCAGATATCTAGAGAGGTCTGGGCTTGTCGACGGGCAGCCTTACGCCATAGCAGCCTGGACCTCATTTACAACAGTACCGGTAGAGCATGTACCTAGTCCAAGTCAATATTCCGTTGGACAAGACAATCGCCTCCGAGGCGTACCGTAACGCTGCACAAACCCATGTCATTTCGGGCGCATCAATGATTCCAAGGCTACAAAAGTACCTGGCCGATCAAACGCGTTCGAGGCCATCTCGATACCTAGTAAGCGGTATCACTCCGCTACCCATGTGCGTATGAGCTGACAAGAAATGAGATAGATAGTAATAACAGGCTAGTAATACCCCTTTAGACCTTACTAACAGCCTCTACTACCTAACCTTTTATAAGGCTGCTACCTACTTTAAGATACTGTTTTTAATAGTAGTTACTTAGTATTAACACTAAGATACTACTATTACCCTAACTATACGCTATTAACTAAAGTAGCTAGCGTTAGAAGCTAACTTTTATAGTTACTTCTAATAATAATAAGCCTATAATAAGATTATTACTACTAGATAGTTTAAGTAAAAGGCCTAGGCTATTTTTACTACTATATACCTTAATACTATTATTACTAGTAACCTACCTACTTATACCTACCTCTTCTAATTCTCTATAGGCTAGTTTAGTAGCTTCCTTATATAATAAAGTATTTTATACTACTAGATTATAAAGTAAGCCTTAAAGCTACCTGCTAAATACCTTACTATTATTACTAACTTTCTTTACTTTAACTAATAGGTTAGTTAGCCTTTATTAGCCTACTAGCCTATTAGCAGCCTCTAATTTCCTCCTAACTGTATTATTAACTTTAATAAGACCCTTATCCCTTTTAAATACCTTAATAGATTAACTTAGGTAGCCTAAGGGGCCTATACTATAGCTAGTAAAACTAACTATAGTAGCTAGAGTAAGTAGTAAGCTACTTTAATCCTTTATATCTTTACTAATAGGATTTAATAGTTACTACCTAAGTTAATTTTTTATAGTAGGCTTACTAATATAAGTAGCTAACTTAAGGTATATAAAAGTAGCTTATATAGTAATAAGGTAATAGTTAAATATAATAATATAGCTTATAATAATAAGTATCTTCTTAAGTAGTAGCTAACTAATAAATTTTTCTTTCTTATAGTAAGGTAAGAATACCTCTTAGTTATAGATATTACTACCTTTTATAAGACCTTTATAATACTATTATAACTTTACTTTTATTACGTTACGCCTAGCCTTATACTACTTAGTATAACCTCTCTTTTTTAACCTCTTAATACTACTATTAATAAGCCCTTTAAGTAGTAGTTATCTAAAGTAATAAATAAATATATATAGTAAAAGGAGTAAGCTACTACCTACTAGCCTAATAAGCCTATTTAACCTATTAAGTAGTTAACTTTAATAAAATATATTATAGTTACTTATACTATTATAATAGCTACTTATTACCTAGCTAAAAGAGGTAATATAGTCTAGTAATCCTTTTTTTAGTATAAGATTAGTATAAATCTAGATAAAAGTAATATTAATAAGATTTAGATTAAGGATATACTAAATAAGAAGATATTATAAGATAGTTAGGATAACTTTAACTATAACGCCTATATTAAGAAGGAAATAAAATAAGAAGAGATATCTAACGTTAATATAAATAATAACTACTAAGAGTATATATCTCTAGCTAAAGACGTCTAGTAAGCTATTAGAGGCAGTTTAATAAGGCTATAGGAAATCTAGCAAGATGTAGAAGGATAGGAGGAAATCCAATGCCTATTTAAAGTCTGTTTGCTAGCCCTTGCCACCTAATTTGCTTCTGACGTACATGACTAACCCCTGTATTTGCTACTTCTAGATCCCTGTTTCTGCCAGCCCGCTAGCCCCCTTCCAGCAGCCCGCGGTCTGTGCGGATTTCGAATTCGACGAGTGTGGACGGTATTCATTTTCTGGTTGTGGCTGGAGCTGTCGTCGTCGACAGTATTCTCTCGAGTAAGAGAGAGATGGAGGGAAAACAAGTGGTTATCGACAAACAGGGGTGGTTTTGAATGAACGCATTGGCTTTATTCTGTTATATTCTATTATTTTATTTTGTTTTTGTTTTTCCTTGCGCTTCCCACGGCGCCACTTGGACTAAATCAACGAATCACCAGCCACAATCCGGGGGTTAAGTGCGGAACAAGACTTGGACTGGTACACACAATTGTCATGGAGGTACGGAGTATCCGTACAATGTACATCGTGGGACAAGCCTGAAATGAGCCAGGGCTGGAATGACATATGGCATGTCCACCCTTGATGCGCGACAGCCTCTTGCTTGCGCGTTCGTGCGCTGCATTGCGTTACGCTGCGTGTCCACACACACACACACTACGGAGTAAGTCACTCCATCCAACGACCCTTTTTTCCTCCCAAATCGACCATGGTGCCCCAACTGCGGAATTGAACAAATATGACGTCAAGAAGAAGAAAAAATGCCTTCCTTCCTGACCCTTGCCGCATGTCGTCTTGGGCGCCTGTCCTGGCCCAAGAACCATGCTACAATACCTTATTCCTAAGCTTAAATTCGACGCTGCCCTTCTCCCCCTTCTCTACTCGCCTCGTTCTCTTGACGTTCAAGCCACCGCCAACCAGCCATCCATCCAACATCAAGCTCGCCAAGAAACACCTTGCAGCTCCCGGCGAGGCACAAGCACAGCCAACCCGTCTTGGCGTTGTCTCTTGCGAGTCTTGATCCGTCTACATCAGCACCAGCACCTTCGCACGCACATTGGAAAGCAAAGAAGCCATCAACACTTACCAGTAGCCCCATAACAACAACAACACCATAATCACCATGGGTATCTTTGGAAAGCGTCGTGAGCCCGCGGCGACCGCCCCTGCCAGCGGCCACGCCAACGGCCACCACGGAGTCGCCAACAACAAGCGCCGCACCGCCGAGCCGTACACCATGTCCCGCCGTCCTACCTTTGGCCAGTGGCTCAAGGGAACGCTCCTCGACATCATCACCATGATCTGCATGGGCGCCCTCGGTCTCGGTGTAAGTAACGTCTGGGGAGAGAAAATGGGAAAGGAAAACGCCCCACGCGTGACAGCTCAACTAACACAAACACCCACCCCAGATCTACATGGCCCCTCCAGCCCCGAGCCGCTCCTTCGCCGTCACTTTCGCCGACGGCGAGGTCGTCTACCCTCAGTTTGCCTACCCCATGCGCAACGAGATCATCCCCATCTGGCTCGCCGCCTTCCTGGCCTCCGTCATCCCCATCTGCATCATCCTCCTCATGCAGATCCGCATCCGCTCCTTCTGGGACGTCAACAACGCTGTCATCGGCCTGCTCTACTCCCTCATCTGCGCCGCCGTCTTCCAGGTCTTCATCAAGTTCCTCATCGGCGGCCTGCGCCCCCACTTCCTCGAGGCCTGCCAGCCTGATCTGTCCCGCGTCACCGCCAACCAGGGCGGCATCGCCCGCACCGGCTACAGCGCCGCCGGCTTCCAGTCCCTCTACGTCACCAAGGAGGTCTGCACCGGCGACCAGAAGGAGATCAACGACGCTCTCGAGAGCTTCCCCAGCGGCCACACCACCGCCGCCTTCGCCGGCCTCGGCTATCTCTACCTCTACCTCAACGCGAAGCTCAAGGTCTTCTCCGACTACCACCCGGCCATGTGGAAGCTCATCGTCACCTACATCCCCATCCTCGGCGCCGTCCTCATCGGGGGCGCCCTCACCATCGACGAGTTCCACAACTGGTACGACGTGTTCGCCGGCGCCGCCATTGGCACCACCTTCGCCTTCTCCGCCTACCGCATGACCTACGCCGCTGTGTGGGACTTCCGTTTCAATCACATTCCCCTCAACCGCGGCCAGCCCTTCTCTTACGGTGCCGGCGCCGAGCTCTACGATGCCGTCTTCACCCGCAAGGCCGGCTGGGGCAACCGCGGCTCCGGTGGCATGATGCACGGCGCCGAGAAGCACTTGGGTCACGGTCAAGGCGCCACCACCGGCATGCACGGCACCGGTGTCAACGATTATGGTGAGCCTGTTGGCTCCCGCAAGCCCGTCGGCTCCGGGGCGCGTCATCCCGATGCGATGGTCTAAGACTGGGAAAAACCCTCTCCCCCATCATTGTACTTTTTCGACGGATGCTCGCCAAGCATCCTTTGTCGAATGTCGGTCAACCGCCGAGTTGAAAACTTTTGGAGCTTTTGCCACATTGGCATTGGAGTGTTTGGAGTTTTGAAACTAATGAGTGACGGCCTTGCTGGGAAGACACACATATAATACCCTACAGCTCGAGTGTAAAATAGTCTTCCCGCGCGTTGGTAACATTACTGAAGTATTAATACCAATACCTTGATCATCCATCAGTGTGATATGATACTATTCTTTGTCAGTGACTGCTCGTGCCATTCAACCACCTTTCTCATCCAGCAAGTTGCTCTAGCGAGGGTCATCTTCGCTGTGGACTAAAACCGGCTTTCCAGTATGCTTTGGTTGCGTGTACTATCATAACTTCTCTTTCTATTACAATAAACCGTGTTCATCTACACCCCGTTCATGCAGATACACCGGCAACCTCGAGCGGCTTCTCGAAATCCCTCAAGAACAACCACCTCCCGCTCTCCCTCCACCCTTTGCTCTTCCACTCGTTGGCGCCTTTCGGGAAGTACTCCATGACCCCGTACAGGCTCCCGTCGTGCGCCGCGACGACCAAGACGTCCGGGCTCGCGTCGAACCGCTTCACCGCCTCCACCGTCTCCCGCGCCTCGCGCACGTCCAGCGCCAGCAGCGTGGCCCCGTCCGGCGTCTCGGGGATCGTGTTGAACGCGATCCCGTCGGCGTCGCCGCCCGCCGGCCCCAGCACCCGGCTGTAGTGCTTCAGCTCCGCCGCGTTGCCGGCGACGGGGGTGGATGGCGTGGAACGCCCGCCCCGCGCAGCACAGCCCCCTCCCTCCCGGCAGGCGCACGTCCTCGGGCAGCCGCGCGCCGGTGTGCGGCCGCAGCACGAGCTGTGGTGGAACGAGTCGCCGGCCATGTAGATGTAGCTGTCCGCCGTCGTGCGCGCCAGGGCGTTGACGTGGCCGACGGCGTGGCCCGGGGCCGAGAGCAGGTAGAAGCTGCCGTCGCCGAAGTAGTCGAGGGCCCCGAGGCCGCCGATCTCGAGGTCGGCGGCGCCGAAGTCGAGCTCGCGGACCTCGCGGCCCTGGAACTCGCGGGCGAGGATCGGGGCGTCCGGAACGGCGGGCCAGCCTGGGAAGTAGGCCTGCTTGACGCCCGGCCCGACGATGAGGGACGCAGAGGGGGGGAAGAGGGACGGCCGGCCGATGTGGTCCGGGTGAGCGTGGCTGTGCGCGCGCGCGTGTGAGCTTTCGACGGGGCCGTTTCCAGATACCGACTGATTCAGCGGCACGGTGGGAGGCACGTTACCTCCAGATCAGGGCTTCGATGCTCCCCAGATCAACGCCATTCTCGGCCAAAATCTCCGAGACGTACTTCTGCGCCGTCATGGTCATGTCCATTGCCTTGGCCGCTTCGATGATGGGTGGCGAAAAGTCGTTCTCCCAGTCTTTGGGCAGGCCGAGGTCGAACACTACACGCCGTTCGTTCCCCTCCGCATCCGCGTGGGTCACCAGGAAGGCGTACCCGACGCCGTGCCATCTCTCGAAGCCCTTGATGGCGGGGCCCATGAAGGGCGCCGTGGGGAGGTCCCCATCTAAGGTCGTGTCGATGACGGAGACGTGGACCGTGGAGGTTGATGCGGGGATGTTCAGGGAGTCTGTCGCGGACATTTTGAGATGTTTCCCGTTTGCCGCTCATAAAACAGTCGGTTTATGTTATTTCTGGGTCGACATAATCATGCCGGCAGCGCCAGCTTTATATCATGAGTCGAGGGGGTTGGATGACCCTCTTGGCGCCGGCTTACTCTCTACTTCTTGGGTATCTTGCATGTCGCTTCTGGAGCTAATTATGGTACATTTGCAAGTCCGTCCGTCTTCAGGTAGCACAGGTACGCAATATTACTGTAACACGCCCGGAGAAAGTCAAAGTATAAGTGTCGTTCTCAACACTCCTCACGAAAGACTTTAGAGCTGACATGCTGCAGTAGGCCGCATTGATGGATGCAGGTATGCAGCTTTCGGCAAGACTCGGACACTCAGGGTGACGGAACATGCGGGCTGACCAAGATGACAGGCCGCGGATAAACCGAGGATGGCTCGGATTTCCTGTCGGCAAGGCTTTGGTCCGGAGTCCGGACGACAAAGCCGGACACTCCCCAAAGTTGCCCACACCAAACATGCTGATGAGCTTCCTGATGTCAGCTGCCACGGCTCCAGCCATGGCCTCCACGTCATATATACAAATGTCGACATCTTAGCCACTCAGGCTTCCTAGGTGATAATATCCACGGAGCATGATCCAAAACGGCAGCGTCCTGCATGGACAATTCTTTTGGTTCAGGAGCCTGAAATCGCTCAAGACTTCAATCCGAATGGGGCATCAAGTCAGACGTGTAGGAACTTGTGTGCATTGCAGCATAAAGCTTAGTTAGGGCTTATTGGTCATCACATTGAAACATGATTTGTAACCGAACAAGGTTGAAATGATAGGGTCATTATTAAGTACGGCATTAACCAAATGGCAAGACTACGTACGGATCCTCTTGATCTACGGATATTTTCATGCGAATCCGCATTTCTCATCAAAAGGCCGGCCAAACAGGCCACCAACCTGAATCGGATTCCACCCAACTCTCGGTCATGCTCTCTGCCGTTCCTCCCCCCAAGAAGCTCGGCCGTCAAAGTCATGGCGTGGAAGTAAGCCTCTGGCTACCACGCGTTTGGTGCAAACAATATCCCCCTACGTGATAGTGGTATCATTTACGCATCTTTTGGCATCAAATAGCAAAAGAACAAAAAAACGACGAATTCGACAATGCTTCTTTTTTTCTCCTCTTCTCCCGTCTGACGATGGACATCATCATAAAGAAGATTCATCAGACCTTCTCGTTGCTGCTGGTGTGGTTGGGGGGAGAGCCCTCGCCGGTGCGGGTCTCGCCCGAGAGGTTGGTGTTGGTGCGGTGCTGGGAACGGCTGCGGCGGCCGGTCGACTCGCCGGTGTCCTTGCGGCCGAAGGAGTGCCAGCTCTTGAAGGAGCTGAAGGTGATGGTCTTCTTGAAGTCGCGGCCGTCTTCCTCACCGCCCTGGCTGAAGGCGCCCTTGACGACCTGGTGGTCGTCGAGGAGGTTGAAGGTGCGCTTGACGAACTTCCAGGCCTCGACGCCAATGACGTAGAGGAGGGTGAAGCCGACGACGATTCCCCACTCCCAGGTGATGCCGATGTGCTTGAAGAGGGTGGTGTTGAGGGTGGGGATGTAGATGACGGGGAAGACGGAGAGGGCGCCGATGATGACGGCCCAGAAGAGGAACCGGTTTGAGTAGACGTCTTTGAAGAAGGGAAACTTGCTCTTGCTGTCGGGGTTCAGGGCGAACATGGAACGGCGCAAGTTCTTGAACTCCCAGGCGGAGATGAGAATGATCCAGGTGAGCTCGGCGAAGACGGCGGCGCGGGCGCGGAACACGGGCCGGCAGGCCTCGGTGAAGGTCTTGTTGCACTCGCTGCCCAGGGCGCCGCCGTTGGCTCCGTAGACGACGATGATGAAGGTGGCCAGGGTCAGGGCGCCCATGATGATGCCGTAGACGATCATGTCGACGATGATCTGGTTCGTGAAGACTCCGCGCTTCTTGTTCTGGGGGGGCTTGCGCATGACGTCGGCGGCAGCCTCCTCGCGGCCGAGGCCGAAGGCAGGGAAGGACGAGGTGACCATGTTGATCCAGAGAATCTCGAGGGGCGAGATGGGGAAGACGGAAAGGTCGGCGCCGTCGCGGAACGCGAGACCGCAGCAGAGGAGGATGACCTCGCCGACGTTGGAGCTGAGCAGGTGGAGAATGAACTTTTGGATGTTGTCGAACATGCGGCGGCCCTGGCGGATGGCGGACACGATGGAGTTGAACTTGTCATCGGTCAAGACAATCTTGGAGGCCGACTTGGCGACGTCGGACCCGGAGCCCATGGCGATACCGACGTCGGCCCGGGCCAGGGAGGGGGCGTCGTTGACGCCGTCACCGGTCATGGCCATGAAGGCGTTCCTGCGGCGGAGGGCGTCGATCATGCGCGTCTTTGTATCGGGGGCGCAACGGGCGATGACCAGGGGCAGCTCGGGCATGGCGTCGATCTCCTCGTCCGTCATCTTGTCAAAGTCGGTGGCCTTCTGGACAATGGACTTGGCGAGAGCGTCGGGCAGGACGCCGAGGTTCTTGGGGATGATGCCGACCTCCTTGGCGATGGCCTTGGCGGTCTCGGGGTGGTCGCCAGTGAGCATGTGGACCTTGATACCGGCGGAGGAGCACTCGGCAATGGACGGCTTAGTCTCGCGGCGGGGAGGGTCGTAGATGCCGGCCAGGCCGAGGAGCGTCAGCCCCTGCTCGACCTCGGTGCGCAGCGCGGTCTCCCTCTCCTGTGTGACGTCGGCCTGCTTGGTGGTGAAACGTCCGTCCCAGTTGCGGTAGCCAACAGCGAGTACACGCTGTCCTTGGGAGGCCAGGTTGTTCATTTGGCTGAGGACCTCTTCCTTGATCTCCTCGGTGAGCTCGATTCTGTCGTCACCGAAACCGATGTGGCTACACAGGTCCAGGATTCGCTCAACGGCACCCTTTGTGAAGACGAGACTGTTCTCAGGGCCCCAGATATCGGACGTCTCGTCCGTCTGGGGAAGGTCGTAGATGACGGACATGCGCTTGATGGAGCTGTCAAAGGGGAATTCGGCAAGTTGCTTCCAACCGAGGCCCTCGAGGGACTTCTTTCCGAGTTTGAAGCGGTGGGAGAAGATCTGGAGCGCAATCTCGGTAGGCTCGCCGGTGGTCTGCCACTTGGCCTCTTCCTCATCGTACCGAACGGTGGCCAGGTTGCAGAGGGCGGAGGACAGGAGGAAGGCCTTGAGGCGGGGCGTCATTTCGGCCTCATTCTCAGCCTCGGGCTCTTTGGCAGGCTGCTTGTTCTGCAGCTTCTCCTCGGGCACATCGAACTTGAGAACGGCGGCGGAACGCTCCTGGTCGTAGTCACGCTTGGGTGCCTCTCCGACCTTCTCCTCCTGCTCCTTGGACTCGGAGTAGGTGACGCGGCCCTTGGTAGGGTCGTTGGGGCTCTGCGAGTCGCGGACAGTGTAGGTGTGGGAGAAGGGTAGCCAGGCCTTGCGGACAATCATGGCACCCTGGGTCAGGGTTCCGGTCTTGTCGGAGCAGATGTTGGTGACGCCGCCAAGGGCCTCAAGGGCGGAGAGATCTCGGACGACGACGTTGGACTTTCTCATGACAGTCACGGCAACAACCATAGTAATGGTGAGGACACTGTTGAGGTGTTAGAAAAACGAAAAAGAAAAAAAAAAAGTCGAATGAATTGGGAGACAAAAAGCTCGGGACTTACGCGACGAGAGATTCGGGAATGATGGCAATGCCGAGCGAAACGGCGTAAATGATAACTTCGCCAGTAACGTCGAACTTGTGAGCAGCAAACACAATGATGGCCAGGATAATGGCACATCCGAAGAGGATGTAAGCCAGGGCGGCGAGCTTCTTCTGCAGAGGAGTACCCTCGGTGAGACCCAAGAACTTGCCGACGGCATCGTAGATGCGCTTGGTAAGACCGACAACGGGCTGGCGTTTGCCGTACTTCTTGTAGTTCATGGAGCGGCCAGGCTTGCGAGTCTTCTTCTGTGTAGAGGCGGCGATCTTGCCAACCTCGGTCTGCATGCCGGTAGCGACGACGATGCCGCGACCACGGCCCTTGCGGACGATGGTGGTGGCGTAGGCGATGTTGAGACGGTCACCGATGCCGACCTCTCCCTCCTCGGTGGCGAGCTTGTCGCTGCCGGGGACTGTAATGTTGGCTTCGGAGATCTTGTCGACTGGCTGGGCCTCACCAGTCAGGGACTGTTCGTCGCAAGACAGGTTCATGGCTTCAAAGATACGCATATCGGCTGGCACGGTGTCGCCCATCTTAAGCAGGATGATGTCACCGGGGACGACTTCGGCGCTGTTGGGGCTGGTCAGCGTGTGCTTTCGCCAAGCAGAATCAAGCAAGATGGCCGAGGGTCAGAAGGGCGAGGGTTGAAAGTCGGCAGAAGGCTACACGTCGCTGGATTGCGTGAAAACTTACTTGGGGATGACCTTTGTCTTTCCGTCGCGCAAAACATTGGCTGAGGGAGCAGAGAGGGTGCGCAGCGCGTCCATCTGCTTCTCGGCGCGGTATTCCTGCCAGAAACCGATCGTAACATTGGCGACGATGACGAAGGCGAGAACACCGCCCTCGATGTAGTCGTTGATGGCGAAACTGAGAATCATGGCGAAGACGAGGACGAGGACCATGGCATTGAACAGCTGTTTGCTGAGAATGGTGTACCATGGCACCGACTCACCGACCTCGAACTCATTGGCAGGGTATTTTTGTTGCGCTTCCTGGACCTGCTGCGATGACAATCCCTTGTCGGGGTCGACTCCGAGCGCCTGAGCGGTGTCTTGGACCGACAGCAGGAAGGGGTGCTTAGGGTAGTCGGCAGACATCGTGTCGTGTCCGGGCTGGCGGCGTGGAAAAGGTATAGGCTGCTTCCATCCACGAGGGAAGTCTGGTAAGGAGGAAGCTTAAACCAGTTTGGCAAGAGTCAAAAAGTAGGTTTTGGTGTCTCTCCACGTGAAGTCGAAACAGAGATTGGTTCAAGAACCAAGAAGAAGCTTCTACTACTTCCTCTTCTGCTTCTACTGCAGCTGCGTCTGTAAGGTGGAGAAGAAGTTGTGTTTTTGGGTTTGGAAATCTAGACTTTGAGATCGTAGAGGTTTGGGGGGGGGGGGACAAGGCTACCTTTATAGATGGACAGCCGGGAGACTGGTAGACTTGGAACCTGTCAAGGTCTAGAAAATTTTGGAAGCTTGTGCTCGCAAGGTCATCGGGGTACATAGCAGGAGCAGAAAGAAAGAAACGAAGCCATGAGAGACGCCAAGGTCTGGGCAGATGATAACAGGACACCCCCCCTCCCCGCCTACTCCACCATCTGCTTGGCGGCCCGCGGGGTGACAAAATGAACCGTCAGTCTAACCTGGCTTCCTCGCTCACCGATTCCTGCCTCGATATCACCGTTTCGAAGCCGCGAGAGCTGGTGCAGAACACTGAGAGATGATGAGAAGAGCAAGCTCTCGCAGAACGTAAGATCGTCTTTGAGCCAAGTATATTGCTTTTGGGAGAGGAATACATGTTGTTTTGAGGTCTCTGAGGTCTACATCCCGCGTTAATATTTTTGGACCTCAGTAGAAAGAACTTTCATCCTCTGAGCCTGCGGCCCACAACAGCCATGTGAAGGAGGAGCCGCATATATGAGAGCGAGAGCCGAGTGGACAACATTGACTACAAGGAGATTCTTAATGTATTGAAATAAGACCACTGACTGCAAGACAGCTCTCTAGAGGTGCACATAATTAAGGTATCTTCATGCCCCCAAGACACAACATAAGAAAGCTGAGAGCGTAAGGAGGAGTGATAAAAGAAATAACAAACTCGGTTGTGGGTTGCAGCTGGCTACGACTTCGAGCTTAAACACTGTGAGGTACTTGCAAAATTAATTATGAACATATGCGATTGGAGATTTGTAGCGCAATCAATGGTACCATAGTTCTGTATCTATCGCCTTGTTTATCGTCCGTAAACCGAGATATCGGAGCTACGAAGGCGCTGGCTGTGAACGCATAAGTACGGCGGTTTGCTCCCAAAAGGCTGAAGCAGTCAATCATCTGGCATACATACAAAGCAAAGCGGAGCGCTTTCCGACTTGAAACATAATGAAGAAAAGTGCTTCATCTGGCGGCTTCAACGTGGTGCTGCGGTTGTAGAGAGACAGTGAACCTAGGTAGCAAAAGCGGCGAGCTATTCTCCGTTACCCACTCTCGCGAGGACCAAATGCGTCGGTAACACGAAGGGAAGTGAGTCCAAGGGCAGTCCAAGTGCGCACAGAGGCGGGAAGCAGAGGCATTCTGTCATAGTGCCGACTGCAGCGTGCGTGATTGGATACAGATGCTGCTACCAAGAGACGGTATGCATGGAATCGCAACTTGGCTGATGGGTCGAATGAAAAAAGATGTGCAAAGGCGGCTGTTTTACGCCAGGGTGCTAAGCTCCTTGGCTTCTTGGCCTTCTTCGATGAATATCTTTGGGGGGGGGAGGAAGACGGAGTTGGAGCCGTTTCCGAGCATTTAGAGAAGAGATGGGGACGGTCCGGGTGAGTGGTGGTTCTCGGGTGACGATGACCTTGGCGGAGCGCTTGGCGGATATCTTGGCGGAGGGAAGCGGCGTCGACGGAAGTGGGGCATTCCCAGAGAGGAGTGGGGAATGGAATAAGGTAGGGGAGGGGGCACTGGGGAAGAGGGAGAAGGAGCAACTCTGGATCCGGACCACCTCGGCTTACCTGCTCTTTCCATCAGCTCCCTAGGTACTTAGGCACTTACAAATACACAGTGGCTAATTGCATGTGTGGGGCAAGGACGAAAAACAAGCCGCGGAGGGAGGGAAGGAGGAAAGGAGGAGGGAGGGAAGGAGAAAGAAGGAATGGCGTGGGGCAGACACGCAAACGAAACAGTGACAAACACAAACACGCACACGGTGGAGAGAGACATGGAGATAGAGTTGGTATTGGACCGAATAAGCACAGTAGCTTGGTGCGAAATAAAACAGGCGTCTCCGACCTCCGACACGGAATGATGTGGTGCGATGCGATGCGGATGAAGGGCGCGTTTGCTTAGCTGTTCCGGTGTCCGGGCGGGCCAATTGGGCTCACGGGCGTCACATGCTGCCAAAACAATCCATACCGAAACACACACATGTATAATGTAAGGCAGGCAGTCCACCTAGGCACTCCGTAGCGGCCCGGTAAGACAAAGGGACGGACTGATTATCAGTTGTGTATCCGTACGGAGTATAAAATGCTAACTAGGTAGGTAATTTGCCTATGTAAACCATGATGACATGCCGGGATACCCCCTTTCTGCAGCCCAGCAGGATAAAAAAAAACCCAACTCGGCTGCCAAGCATGCGTACCAAAAGTTGGAGCTAGTCAACAAGCAAACTGTAAACTGAGAATTGAGTGCCGACCTGCAGCCCGTACTATGACGACAACGAAAACACACACACACACACACAACCGTTGCAACTGTCCAGTGACATCATTGGCCGCCTCCTGGCGAATAAGGTTATTTGGTGCGGTGCGCCAATTAGACATAGGTAACATTGTTTGGGCCTCAGGCACCGAGAAGTGGGGACTGAGTCACGCAGGGGTAACAGGGGGATTCTTGGGCACCCATCACTTAGCAAAAGAAACTTAGACCAGACAACCCCAATTACTCATTCAATTTTCCACAGGGTTTTGTCCCTTTGGCTTCGCTCCGATCTTTTCTAACATGGCATGACAAGATAGATGGTGTCGAGTTGTCGGCTGCGCCATTGGATTGGGAAGGGGGGCGTGGTGCATCACGTGTCACAGCACCTGCTTCACACAGTAAGGGCACAGGCCTTCTTGCACTTTTCTGTGGGAACTTGAGACCTATCTGTATTGTGTGATTGGCTGTGGCTGCCCATGGTCTTTCGGCTCCTTCCCTGTTGGCCTTTGCCTTTGGCGCCTATTGCCTTCCCCTCAGCATCCGTTTGTGGCGGCTGGAGGTACCTTGCCAGCCAAGATGCACAGCCCGGGTACTTACGCAGCTTAGCGGATACGCCGCAACTGCACCGCTGTACGATGTGCGGCGGACTATAGCGTCTTGGCTGCTATGAAAGAAAAATGAAAGGAAAAAATACCCACAGCGACTACTTCTGTTTGGCTGTTTGCGTTGCACCATATCATACACTCTACTAGGTACGGTACCTAGGTAGGTACCTATCCAAGCTGGGTAGGTACATCCCCGTCTTGTTGCACCCACGCTGGCTGCAGGAAATGGAACAATTCTCGGCTTCGTCTCAACAAAAACAGCCCCTCAAATAACAAGAGCAACAATTCCCCGACCTCTTCGTCCTTCTCTATACACGCCTCTCATATGCCCAACTCCAGCCTTTCCGCCCCGGACGCCATGCCGAAGCCAAATATCTTTTACCGACTCACAAGAGAGCTCGCCCCCTGAAGTGCCGAGAGGCTCTACCTACACTTCGACGTCTCCCCGGTCCCTGCCTATTAGGTAGAAGCGCACACACAAACCACCCAGAGTAGGTAGGTACGGATAGGACGTGTACCAAAATCGTTTTGATATCACGTGTACGCGTCAGCCGATCCGTCTTTTTCGCAAGGAATATGCATGCAGCATGATGGTCGCTACGAAAGGCTATAACGACACCACCCATTCACCCAGGTTGACTCATCACAACACCGAGAGAGTGAGCATCGCGTTCCGCCGGCGGAGCGACGCCTGATAGCCACGGCACGCCACAACATCCAGTCACTTTCGCTCAACTCCGTGCGCTGCCAAGACTTCACCTTGACCATCACCAATCACCAATCGGCCGCGCACACTCACACACACAACACCCAAATACGCCCCCATGAACTGATGTGCGTACAGCCACAGAAGGCATACACTATCGCTAGTGCAACGCCGCTGGCCACACAACCTAGACGAGGCAGAGCGCAATCGGCCGGCCGGCGCGGGCGATGCAGGAAGAGACATCTCCAGACTCCGGACAGCCACCACCTAACGATGGTTTCCGTCTCGACCTCTTCTTCCGGGGAAGGGGTTGATAGGGGGGATGGTCAGACGAAAAAGAGCAGCCACATACTGCTCTGACATCCAAAAGCAACATAAAATGCGCTTGTCTCTTCCGAATGTCTACAACACTGCATGCAATCTTTCAATCTCCCGCGGCATTCCTGCCCGGCGTCTCCCGAACCTTCCACATGTATCTATCCCCCGAGCAGTGAAAACCTGCGCATGCACGTATACGACCCCTCTGTGCGTGTGCCTCGTATGGAAACGGTGGCTAACCCACCGATCGCGACTCCGTTTGCGCCGGCTCTACTTGGCACATCTTGGCAGCTCTTGTCCCACGGCTCAACGACGTTGGCCTGACTCCAACGCGGGATGACGGTCGCTGGGGAGGAGACTGGGGCCCGGGGCCACATTCCAGACTCCAGAAGTTCCCCGCCACCCGCCAGGGTGCCCATTCAACACACCATCCCACTCCGTTATCCAATTGACCATTCGCGGCCGTTGTCTACGCTCTTCAAGGTGTGTCTCTCTCCCCCCCCTTTATCAGCGACATCCGCGGAACATAACTGCTATGGATGAATTGGGAAAAGCGACCGGGGCCCGTCAGCGCAGGCTACATGGCGAGCGGACGAAAAAGAAAAAGTCCATCTCCCGCAGAGGGGCACGGCGGCGATCCAAACGCGATGCTGATCCTGAGCCGCCAGCCGCCCATCAACCCCGCGTCCTCCTCGCGCTCATTCCCCCCTCCCCATGCGAAACGAAGCATCGCTCCCGGCGGCTATATATATATATATATTTTTCTTGGGGGGGGCGGGTGGTTTCTTTCTTCTTTTTCATCGACTTATCCCCTTCCCAGTTGTTTTCCATCCAGTGCATCCGCGATCGCCCCTCTGTCCGATCTCAGTTCCTATCGGTTTCCGGTATCTTACACCCTGCTCAACTTCGACACTGTCATAATCTTGTCGGTGGAGTCGCCAAGCGCTTGGTCTCTCGCGACCGCGCAAGATGGTGTGGACCCGGCCAAGTGGCGTAGCATGTTCAACCCAGGAAAACGCCCTTCCGTTTCCTCCCCCTCGGTTCGCTCGCTCAGGCCAGAAGAGGATGGAAACACCACCAGGTGTTGGTCGTACGTTCTTAGCCAAGATTCTTTTTCTGCGCCAAGGCGTCGACTGTTCGCCATGGTCCCCCGGCTCTTCTTCGCCGTCCGACACTTGGGTCTGGTCCTGTCCGAGGAACGCCTCGTGGAGGGCGATGAATATAGATCCTGCTCACTAGGCGTGCGATGCCGTCACCTCGCACTACCGGCCTTCGCCACGAACCAGCCCCTCGGGGCCGCTTGATGTGTTTGCCGTCGTCAGACTATCTCAGGCATGCCAGGCTACGGTGGCTGCTACCCGGTAGTGTAAATTAACATCACCTTCTAGAGACTACTACAACAGACACGCTTGCGACAATTTTGTGGTAGTCAAGAGAAACCTCCTGGTGGATACACGTCGTCGGGCGGCCGCAAACAGCTCTGATCTACACCACACACAAAAACGTGCCTGCGACGATGATCAATACTGGCATGGGGTCCTAAGCCTTTGCCTGTCCGTCTTACCCGTCTTGTCTCTGTCTCGTGCAACAGCCGCTCCACGCAAGGCTTGAATTTTGCTTGTTTTACTTCCTCCATGAGCTTGAATTACGGCACCATGCATGCACTCGAGTCTTGGATGATGGCATCGGCCCCATTCCCAGAGAGCCATTCTTTCTCTACCGGCCTCGCAGGTTCGGGGGTTGCTCATGCAGAAAGCCCACCTTGGCTTCGAGGCTTGGCCGTGACGCCGTTATCTCACAGGCGAGGCGAGATAAAATAAAAACGGCCGTTGGAATCTTGATCCGGTCAAGGAGATAGGGAGAAGGGAGGGCCTAGGCCCTGACTCCCCAACGTTCTTTTTGCATTAACGCCCTCCTCCCCTACCCGCGGGTCCCAAGAGTTCTTGATCCTCTGGGTCTTTTTTGGCCTTGGCGATGCTGACCAATAGCCGTACTCGACGCTGCTGGACCAGCTCTTTGCCAAGATCGGGGGCGGTCTGCTGAAGCTGTGTTAAAGGGAAAACGCCTTCTCCGCGGGCGGGATCGGCATCTCAGGGTTCCTGTATTTGTCTTGCCACACCTGATTTGTTGACAGGCCCGAGATGCCGGAGCATTATAGATTCCCGAGATTATGAGATTGCCATTGGTCTTTGCGTCGGGGGGCCAAGCTTCCGTCGAGGGTATTGATTGAATAACGATGCCAGGGTCGACTGAGATGACCCAGGGAGGCAGGTTGCTGTGTGGATGTTCCCGGATGCCCTATCCGTTGAGTGTCGATCCACTATATTGTCTTGGTGATCATGCTGGCGAGAATGGCAACGTCGTAAACTATGGGGTAATATTGCTCAAGTACGTGATCTGTAACCTGTAAATCGAGGATAGCTCATCAGTCATGACCCCCGTCATGACTGTCACAGTCCCTCTTGAACCAGATCTAGTTACTCCCTGTGTCTTCCAACCCGCAGATCTAGTATCGACATAATTGGTAGTTTGTAGACGCTCTTCTCCACCTCGTTAACAAAACATGTCAAATGGAAGTTTTTGACTACCTATGACAGCCGTTCGCTAGGTCAGCTTATATGACCCTCACACACCGATCAAAGTTGATTTTAGAGTGGATCTTGGCAGCCCATGCACACGAGCCGGACTACGAATAAGAACGGCGTCAATTAAAGCAAAAGCTTGGGCAATGGCGTAGTGTGCTCCAGGTGGCATCCGCGATTGCTGTGCGAAGATGACGAGCTGTCGAGACGTTCTGGGCCATTGTTCATTCGCATTAGTCTTCCGGATCCCCGGGACGGCCATTGCACATTGAGCATGAGCGTACCGGATTCCTCAACTGCAGAGTTACACGCACGCCGCGGAGATCCGAGCAGTGTGAGCCAGTGCGATGTTTTTATTTTAACCTTTCCAACACTGGTTGCCCTATGCACAATCGTAGAGTTCGTTATGTACCGAACCGAGGTAAGGAGAAAAAAAGGGGGGGGCATTGTAGTTTGTTCTACACAACCTACCGGGCCACATGTCATACAGGCCATCAAGAAACGGGCTCGTCTTAACTATCGTTACTCATGTGTTATGGACACCCCAGTTCTTGAACCAAACCACAGTCCCAAGCTTCTTCACCCGTGTGTGATCATCGCTGATGCCGATGGTGCATCGGGGTTCGTGTCGAGATTTGCGTTGAGGCGGTGCCTTCGGCGACGTCAGCTCTGCTGATGGTACCCTTGCAATTCAAGCTCGATCGCCGCAAGGGTAAGCCCAGTTCTGGTCCTTACCAACGAAGTGGTTGACACTACTCCGTACTTGTCTAAACCCCGTTAGGGGTATCGTTCTGTCCCTACCATGACGGGGCCTACGGCTTCTCCCGCTCGCAGTCGGATTGTAGTTAGAAACAATATCATTTTCCAGCAAGTTCATGATTGAGTCTCTGGTTATCGCTCGTCGATGTGGCTCAATGGCACGTTTGACCTAACACACTTTCACAGCCCTCATCAATCGGATCGTGAGCAAGCTTGGTGGTGTGACGTACACCGGAAGCACCGGTAATCTACCAGAAGCCGGGTCTTTTCTGGATCAATGGAGACCAATTCAGCTTCCAAAGAGATATTCCGTGGTGTCATAGGACCCTTAAACCAATGCACGAGAATTGATATTTCCTCCACGCGACCCTAGTTGACCGATGAAATTCTAGCCTGTCGTCATTGGCACTTGATCTCATCCTTGGGGTCATATAAAGGAGAAGGAAATGACCGTTGACCTATCAAGTCTGCATTGTCGGGTGGACTATGGAAGAACCAATGGAGAAGGCCGTCGGCAAGAGACGAAACAATTTTCGTACTCGCCAACCATTCGAGGACGATGCCATCACTATCCCCTTGTCATCCTTATGAACCATTCACCCTTTCCAGCGAAACAGGCCCGAGCACCTGTCATGCATGCAACCTCAAAACCCTTGATATATCCGTTTTGGGCTGCAGTTCGCCCTTCATCTCATCTTTTGACGTATAGCGGCAATGCTTGATGTTAAAGCGTGCCTCCCAGTCGGGGAACTGCCGACACTGCAGGTACGAACACGGGACGGTCCGTTTCACGGTCCCGCGCTTTATGCTTCGCTGCCATACTACGTAGGGACCCTGACCTAACCTCTCTGCGGTCCCCTAAGTCACTGGTCCGGCCATCCGTTCCTTTTCGTTGGTTGGTTCATGACTATCAAGCTGTCAAGGGTTGTGAGTCTGCCGATGACAAGTAAAGGCATACAAGCATCTCCCGGCCTGATACCCACGAAACAACCACACGGACAGCCGTCGTCGGCATCTAGGTACCCTTGCGCCGGAAAAGCAGAGATGCCGAGTACGACGCACGTCGCCAGACTGGAGATACTGGTCATTCCATGTGTCTCACGTCTCAGACGGTCGATACAGGCAGACGCCGATGATGCCGTTTTTTCTGATCTCTTTCCGAGTGTGATCTGTGATCTCGACTAATAGCACGATGGACTCACAGCATAGTTATAAATATATCCCATCCTCCGCCGGTAGAAACTGAGATACTAAGGAGCACAAGCAAAAGCCTCAAACACAAAAACATACAAAGACCCAGCCATCTTGCAAGCTACAAGCACCTTGATTGCCAACCATCAACCCTTTTCATCTAGCTTCGTCACAACATATCACAATGCACAGCCAATACGTGGTTCTTGCGCTCCTCAGCCGTGCTGCCCTCCTTACTGCCGCCCCCTTCAAGTCCACAACAGCCTTTGAAAAACGCGATAATCTCGCAACCATCGAAACGGCCCTCTCCCCCGTTTTTGGCGCCCTCTCGGCCGTTGATCTCGCCGTGGTATCTCTTGATGGCACCACTATTTCAGCACAGAATCTTTACGTTGCCTCGCAGCGAGTCGAGACCACCGTCAAGGAAGCAACCATAATAGTCCGCGCCACAGGGGATCTCACCGTCAGCAAATCACTCAAGCTACGCAAATCCACAGACACCCTTGCCGCTCAGACAAAAACGACGCTCGACGACCTGGTCTCTCGCAAGGCGGTTCTCGATACGCTCGGCTTCGGCGGCACCGTCCTGCTGTCCCTCCAACAGCAGGAGGCAGCCACTATGTCACTGAGCCAGGCACTGGCCCAGAAAGTTCCAATGATTGGACAACCCCAAGCCGCATCCGACGTGTCCAACATGGAGGCAATGTTCAACAAGGCCATCGCAGCTTTCTCCGTTGTCGAAGTCCCGGTTGTTGTTCCCGTTACACCTGTCACCCCCGTCCCCGTCCCCGTAACGCCTGTTGTCCCCGTAACGCCTGTTGTCCCCGTTACACCTGTTGTCCCCGTTACACCTGTCCCAGCTCCAGTAATCATTGCACCGAAGAAAGCAAAGAGCGAGAAGGACGAGATGAACGAGATGAACGAGACGGACGAGACGAACGAGGCGGATGAGATGGACGATATCGATGCCCTAGCTGAGGATGACGCGTAAAGACAAGAGCGCATTGGTTCATCTGGATGGGCATTAGCGAATGTTGATTGATTTTGTGATCATTTCAGAGCCGGCGTTTCATGGCACCACTAGCTAGGAGAGGGGGTAGCAAGCGACGGCGTCTAGTTTTCCGTGGATTAAATAGCACTACATAGAATGAAACGAGCCTCAATTCAAAACTCAACATCTGTTCAGCGTTGGCAATAATCCACACGATATACCACCCCGCAGTTCAGGTGTAGCTAGGTCACCCGCCGCTCTAAGTCGTGCGATTCAAGGTGAGCGGGATAAGCTAGGTATGCATGCATGCGTGCAGTGCAGTTGTCACAGGATATAAGGCGTTAGTTGCTGCCCGTAACTAACGGCGTCGTTTTTGCGACAGCAGTGTTCTGATTAATCAAAACCTGGTTCAGTCTTTCGAAGATGGATGAGCAGTGGCTAAGCCATGTCAGTAACATCTACACTACTTTGGATCAAGGGGATTAGTGCTTAGGGTTCTGGATCTCCGAAGCGATAATTGTATTTAATGGCTTTAGGCCTAGCCACTGTCTAATTGAAGTCTATGCAGAGAAATCCAGAATATGAACAGCCTGAAATCGGGATTATCATGATGTCTAGGAGATTAGGTGAGTGGGGATCACCTAATAAACAGTGGATGGCATTAACAGTGAAGATGAGTACTTTGAACAATTTAGTCAGTCTCTTTCCCGGAGCTTCTACTGACTGGAGTTTGGACTCTAAGCCCATTCTTTTGCTGATTTTATATGCATTGGTTTGATGATGACGGCGAATGTTCCTAAGTTAATCGATTACAATGCTTTATTTGATGATCCTGAAGCACAACTACACTTGCCACCTGAGGGGGTTGGGGCCACAGTATACATGAGGTTACGTAGACCCAGTCACCATCTTGCTCGTTTCTTTATGGCACCTTGAGGACCAGGTCGATAGGTTTAGATCTTCTCGACGTATAAGATTAGTGTGTTTTCCTGTTGGTTTACTCCCTCACTAACAGGATCAGCACAAATAGAACAGCTCCTTCAAAGCTTTTGTGGCCTGGTACCTGGAAGGATACCTCGTCAAAGTTGCACGGAACCTGGTGTGCATTAACTTCCGCTGGCCCATGACCGCGGCAGAGCAAGGGCCCAGGCAGTCATCAATCTTTTCCCGACAGCGTTCCTAAGCTTTTTTCTTCTTCCACCTGCAAGCCAAGCGTTTGAACGTCAGCCAGCAATCAGCTCACAATGATCATGTCTGGCAACGGTCATCTTCGAATTCTCCTCATCGGCAAAGGCGGCCGCGAGCATGCATTGTCATGGGTGAGTTATCTTTTCGCGGCACCAATTAATGATCCCTTTCTCGTCATCGTCTATCATACTCGACAAGGTCGAGAGGTCTCATACCAAACTAACGAACTTCGAGGACGAGCTTATGCCCTGAAGTTTGTGGCCATAATGAACCAACATGAATAGACTACAGCATCCTGCTTCGCACAGCTCAACAAGATTGTTTCATAATGGCTAATGAATCTGCAGAAACTAAGCCACTCGCCCTCAGTTGATCATGTTTTCGTCTTCCCGGGCAATGGAGGCACTGCAAAGGGACTGTCCAATGTCTCCAATATACGCGAAGATATCACAGATTATACAGAACTGGTGTCTCTGGCCCAGGCTCTTGCCATCGACCTAGTTGTTGTCGGACCTGACGATGCGGTAGTCGGCGGTATTGAGGGATTTTTCAGGAACAGTAGGTACAAGGAGTCGCACTTTGTTACACAGAGCAACCGCTGAGCCGAGAATGGTCAGGTGGAATTCCTTGTTTTGCACCTACGAAAGAAGCGGCCGAAATTGAAGGCTCCAAGGCCTACGCGAAAGACTTCATGAGAAAATATGGCATACCGACTGCTGCATACAAAAACTTCGACGATATTAGTCTTGCCAAGACTTATGTTAACGCCGTGAACCACAGAGTCGTCATCAAAGCGAGCGGTTTGGCTGCGGGAAAGGGTGTCTTTCTTTCCACAAGTAAAGAAGAGGCCTGCAAATACTTGGAGGATATAATGGTCAAGGGGCTGTTTGCCTCCGCTGGCTCCTCCGTCGTCGTCGAAGAATACCTCGAGGGCGACGAAATCAGCGTCCTCACATTCAGCGATGGCGAATCCATCATATCTTTACCGCCAGGTCAAGACCATAAACGCATCTTCGAGAACAACACCGGCCCAAATACTGGTGGCATGGGTGTCTATGCGCCTGTGCCGTTTGTGACTGCGCAGCAAATGGACGAGGTCGAGAAGACAATCCTCCGGCCCACTTTCGCGGGCTTGAAGACCGAAGGTAGGTTTCTGCCAGCTCTACTAGCATTATTGTGTGATGCCTAAGCTAGTCGCTGAAATGAAACGTAGGCCGTACGTTTAGGGGTATGCTGTTTACGGGCATTATGATAACCTCAGATGGACCGAAAGTTATAGAGTACAATGCCCGATTTGGAGATCCTGAGACGCAAAGCATGATGATGCTCCTCTCTCCGGAGACCGACTTGGCAGTCATTCTTCTGGCATGCACGCAACAAACGCTAAGCAGTGTCACTTTGCTTCTTCGCCCTGGCTTTGCCTGCAACGTTGTTGTGGCAGCTGGCGGATACCCAGGCAAATACTCGACGGGGGACAACATAGCAGTTGGAGGCAATTCAGATGAAGTACAAGTGTTTCATTCTGGTACCGAGCTCATAGAAGGAGCCTTGAAGACTGCAGGTGGTAGGGTGCTGTCTATTGCTTCTTACGGAGAAACCCTTAAAGATGCTGTCGACCTGGCTTACCGCGCCGTTACTGGAGTTGACTTCCAAGGGATGTACTTCCGAAAGGATATTGCGCGACGGTAAGTCGAACCAGGTTTGGCAGCTTCTTTTATGGAAGCATGGAAGCTAATGGTCCCCAGATGCCTCGAATAGCTGTGCGTGATGTCGCTCAATCATCGTCATGCTCATACATGACGTACCAGTGCTCCTGTGCAGCTCACTTCTGTTTACAAGCTGATTTGGCGTAGCTGGGTAAGTCGACGGTTGCAAAGTCCACCCTGAGTATCAATGGACGTTGGGTTTAGTTGTGTCTTGCTGACGTCGAATGTGTGGGGATATACGCTCCCTCGAGCTCGTATCCATCTGGAGGATGCCATGAAATTAGACATATAGACCACCGTTTTCTTGACTATCTTGCTTTCGAAGAGCCACTTCGCGGTCTGAATATACCTAGCTCTTCAAATCATTAGTATTAACAGTCTCACTCTGATCAAGCCGCGACGAAGCACACACGAGAAGTCGCGCGTGTACTCGGCAGCCCGCCGTCACTGTTCTCAGGATTCGGGGCCCGATCGGTAAGCTGGTGTACCCAGGCCCCTATTACCTTATATAACTTATTATATTGAAATATTCTTAACCATTAGACTAATAAGATTGCTCTTACATGTACATAATTCATCAGTCGCTGTTATCTTTACTTCAGTGTGACACTCACTATGACGACAATTTCCTGCTTTGCCCGCAGGAACCACATGCTCACCAAAGTCTAGTTTTTAGGTTGTCAAAATTCATTGAAATTTTCACCTTGCCTCAATAAAGCTGTAATATACCATGGTACGCACACTTGATGTAGGAATGATCAGTGTATAAGCGGGTCATTCATCGTTACGCCGTGGAACGTAATACTTTTGGGAGTGTATATAGCCACCTTCCTTTTTCTTTCCGACAAAGCGGTTGTCAAGGCTTTTCTTCTTGACTTCATAAATACTGAGCACTCAACCTTTCATGCTTCGGAACTCTGCAAAACGAACGTCAGCTCCCAGCACTTCCCCCTTCCGAACATCCCAATAGTAATTGGCCTCCCCCAGACACGACAGTCACTCAATCAACAGTACGCCGGTTGCCAAAATGAAGCTCGGCACGCTCGCCGTAGTCTTGGCCTCCTTCGCCCTCCTCGAAGGCCCAGCCGCCGCCTCGGGTACCGGAAAGTACCATTACGGTCCAGACCAAAACGTCAGGTTCAAGGACATCCCTCAATGCGTCGTAACATGCATGAAAGAACTCGAGTGGCGCTTGAAAGAGAAGAAGATCCCTGTATCCATCATCGTGTGGTGCGACAACACGTCCCCGCCTCACCGCGCCGACTGGGCCACTTTTGGCCGAAAGATGGATGAGTGCAAGGTGGTCCAGTGCAACAACATTCGGTACTGGTACGACTTCGCGGAGTGGCACTGGAAGAACTGCCACTGGCACGATCATTACAAGGCTAGCTTGGCTTGGGTCAACGATTACCGAGTAAGCGCGTGGTGGCCAAACGACGAAGGCCGCCCGAGACCGCCCAGTCATGAGAGTTGGATCTCGGAGAACAGAACAGGAATACCCCCCCTCGGTGATTCTGTCCCCGTACGATAGCGCTGGAGTAGCAGACTTTTGCACTGCGTCGGTGGGACTCATGGCTTTCTTGGACCGGAAACTTTCCATTCGATCGGACTGCTACTGGTCCTGTCATTGGTAGAAACATGCTAGAAATAGGCAGAAAACAATACTGGTAAACTTGGAGTTTTCAAAACTTATGATCAGCTGGTTTAGCTAGATAAGTCGGATTGAACCTCATGCCATAGCCAACGCATAGACCCCTAACCCAGCAAGCTTTTCACGCAATATATATTCACTATCCCCTCTGGGTATTCTCCTCCTTGTTTAAAACTGAAGAATGTCGTACCATACGAGTGCTCGACATCCATAGCTTTCCCCGTCTCTTTTCAAGCGGGAGCTGGCTATGTTGGACCGAAGCATAGCCATCTCAACACAGCCTACAGATAGTTTCCTGTAAACAACATACCTCAGAATACGTTCAAGAAACAAGGATAAAGTTAAGAAGAATAGCCCTGCAACTGTCTGCTCTCTCTCTCGTAGCAGAATATCGAATCAGATCGCTTCGAAAAAGATGTCTATTTATGTCTCCTTCTGAGTCTCACGACGAGCGTCCTGTCGATGGGAATACTTTAGAATACCGTCGCCTAAACACTAAGCATTGCCGAGAAGCCTCAACCTGTTATCCAACTCCGGAGGCTTCAGGCGTCAATTCACAAAAGTCAACATTGTTACGGGTTCAATGCTCGGACGACTTGCATAGGCTATTCAAAGACCTGCTCGGTCAGTGATGGCTCAGGGCTTAACGTCGGGCTTGGCATGCAGGACTTGGCAAATCCTCGCTTTGAGGTCGAAATCCATCGCTGCCGAGGGAGCAAAAGCTGTGCCCCATGTCCTGTGGAAGAGGGATAAACTGGACTAGAATGAATGGAGGGCATCGTTCTGTATCGAACTTGTAAGCATCAATCTATCTCTCACAAAAATAAGTGCATCACAAAATGGTAACTTGTCCAGCGCGTTGAAAGTAATCACCAAGCAAGTCTTCGTGAGCCCGGTAGCTGTCATACGACCACCTACTGCTGGGATCTCTATGCACATGCCCAGTCTATGCCGTCCCTTGGTTGCTATTGCCGTCATTCAAAGCCGACATGCTTTGCTGCGGAGAAAAGGAAGGTTACTCCTGGATTCCACTGGCTCACTGGCGAGTCAAATCTTCACGGCGATAGTACACATTTTCCGGACGGCAGTATGCCAAGGAGTCAGAGAACGCAGGTACAACGTAAGCACTAACCACACCCTGATGGTGGTGCAACCCACAATCTTTATCATGAGTTGAGGGACACGGTGATCTGCATATGTCAGAGGTTGTTGATGTTGCCCGGAATGATAAAGCGTGTTCCACAATAACAGACTGCGGTCCACTAGAGTGCGACGTGGCCAAGATGCACGGGTTTGTCAGGGAGGTCACATCGCCGACCCCTCACCGAGGCGTGCAGACATGGAGCGTTAGCTTCCACTAATCAAACTTCTCTCGTTGTAAGTAAATACACTACATATAAACCGCGGGCGTTGTCCTTCTGCCGCACTCAGAACTCAAAAATGTCAAGCATACCGCCCAGGTTGGCAGTCATGGACCTCTCGAAGCTAACCAAGAAGACAATTAACGTCTCCCGAGGCTTCACATACACATATTACACCTCGCCAGCCAAAGGATCTAGGCCGACTCTCATCCTCTTTCACGGATGGCCCGACACTGCACGCCTCTGGGCCGGCCTCATCAACGACCATCTTCTTCCCCATGGTTATGGCGTCATTGCCGTGGATATCCTCGGATTTGGCGAGTCTTCCAAGCCAACCGATGAAGAAGCATACGCGTTTGACGGCCTCACAGGTGACATTGTCGCCATCCTCGATGCTGAAAGCATCAATAAGGTGATCTCGCTCGGCCATGATTGGGGCTCCCTTACTGCCCAGCGTCTATACAACTTCTACCCAGCCCGCGTCTGTGGCGTTGTCATGCTTAACGTGACCTACCTCCCCCCATCGGGTGACTTCGACTTCAACAAGGCCAGCGAATCGACCAAAAAGATGTTAGGCCGCAGCCTATTCGAATACTGTTACTTCTTCATCGCCCAAGATGCCGTCGATATCATGAACAGAAACCTTGAGTCTGTCTACGCTGTCGCTTTTGGCGAGCCCGAGACCTGGATCGAGACCTTTTGCACACCCGACGGGATGCGGCGCTTCATCACCGAAGGCCGCACGCAGCCCACACTACCATTCGCGACGCCCGATCATAAAGCGGACTTTATGGAGCGCTTCAGCAGAGACGGGGACGGAGGGTTCGCGGCGCCGTGTTGCATGTACAAGGCTATGGCCGCCGGCATCCAGAACGAGGCGGACATGAAAGTTGCCGAGGAGGTGAAGACAGTGAGTGTGCCTGTACTGTACTGGGGCGGCACACGGGACTTTGTATGCATACCGGAGGGGTTGCAACAGAGCATCGATGATGGCCTGCTACCCGACGTGAAGAGCGTCCTCCGTGACGGGGGGCATTGGGCTTGCCTTGAGAAACCCGATGAATTCGGACGGGACGTGGTTGGGTGGTTGCAAGAGCGGTTTGCGTAGGTCCGTCCCCATAAGAGTTAAAAGCCGCCCAACAGAATAAACCTTCGTCTAGAACGTGGTGTTTCATTCACTTGCATGGCATGTTCTAGAGATGGCGCTATAAACAAATAACCTAGCAAGTACATAAACAATGTTGCAACGGGGTACTCGAATTGTAATCGCAGATTATATATAATATATCCGTAATAAGCATCCAAAAAAAAATCCAAAACAAATCACTAGCTCACTTTCGTGAATTCGAACTGGACGATCAGGGGATTGAACCCTGGGCCTCCCGCAGGCAAGAGAGAGAATGCAAAGCGGGCGCTCTACCACTGAGCTAAACGCCCGGTAGCTGCGGCGCGAAGTAATGCCGCAATCGGATGCTCGCAATGACCGAATGTGAGACTGAGAATGCCCGCCATCATCCATGCCCACCTGGGCGGAGACATACTGCGTAAGGCACAGCAAATTCGCAGTCACAAAACACAACAGAACCCTAAGTGGGTTACGGTTACGACATGTCCCCCCCCCCCCCTAATGACCCCCGCAATGACACAGTACCTAGGTAGCCGCCTAGAGTCGAGTTGCGAGAACTGCGTGATTCTAATAGGTTCTTGGGCAAATCGCGTGGGTTTCAATGCAACGCCAAGCAAGGCATAGCCTCGATTCCTCCCCTTGGTGTAGTTGGTTCATCACGTTCGACTGTAATGGTTACATTGTCATCGAAAGGTCTCTAGTTCGATTCTGGAAGGGGAGAGAGAGCCTCTATTTTTCCCTTTTTCTCTAGATATACATATGTATTCTCCTCTAAATAGACAGATGCTTTGTTTGTTTTAGTTGTAATTACTTACTTATACATTTGTTTTTTTAAGTAATCATGTTAGTTACACCATGCCACCTCAAGAGTAAGTAGTATTCTTAGCAAGACAAGGTTAACTGGATGTCAATGAAACTTCATCAACTCCTTTTCTACATACACCTATGCAGTCTAACATTTGCATTGCTGAAAGACAAGATACTAGCACAGTCGGTTTCCTTCTCAGACATCCCGGTTGTCCTCTGTCCCTAATCTCTGCCCCATGCCCCCGTCGACGTCAATTCCGGCGCTACGTTCCTCCTTGATCGCATTTCTTGCGGCCTGCTGCTCTTGCTTCTTCCTGCTTCGTCATTAGCACCGACATCCTCACAGCTGTTCGCCTCTGTCTCGGCGCCGGGGTGCGCTCACCTCTCGAGCCCGCTGCTAAAGTCGTCGATTCGGACCTCCTCCTGTCCTGGCGCCTTCTGCGTTCCGCTCTTTCTCTCCACAGCGTCCGCGACCTTACCCTCGGCCAGCGTCTCCATCTGCTCCGCCTCGACGTTAGGGTTCTCCGGCCCCTTGCGAGACTCCTGCTCGGAGACGTACGCCGTATTCTCGCGCTCCGTGGCATCTACGGGGCCTGAGGAGTGCACGCCTGCGCCCAGCGCGCTCGGCACCGCGTCGTCGGCGGACCTGGCCTGCGACCGCGGGAAGGGCGTGCGGCCCTGGGCCGCGTCGCGTGCGGCAATCTCGTCCTGTTGGGCGTGAGAGGCTGCGGCATCACCCTCGGCGGGGTTACGGGATGCCGGGTTTGAGGCCGTGGTGTAGGCTGCTGCCTTTGGGGGTTGGGATGGCATCGAGGAAGACATGCTTGGTGGCTGACGGCTTACTGTCTCTGGTGAGGGTTGGGAGATTTGCAAGATTGAATGATTCTAGCTGAAATCTCGGCTTACTGTTAGCACTATTTCCCGAGCAAAATGAATGGGGATATTCTTGTCATCAAGGTTCAAATCGCACAGGTCATCCATGCAAACGATCCAAATGATATCAGTGACAGTTCGATGACGTCGGTGGGCGGGCGGTCGTGGATCGACGCTACTTTGCCCGATGACAGAAAAAAGACACACACTACCGACTGATTTCCCCATCTCCGTCATCGCAAACCCGCAATCATGTCGGTTGATCTCCAGATTGCGCTCCATAGCCCTTTGGTCAAATAGACTGAATACTGTTGCAATAGCTGGGGATAATAACTATTGCCGGCAGCCGCCGACCGATACCCCAGAGTCCCGTCCAACTTTTTACATACGCCGACTACTCCCGTCGAGCGGCATCAGATACGCGTGACCTATCATCAAGTATCTTGCATATTCTCTTCTTCATCCTACACATAAGCAAGGCATCAACTAAACTTTGCATCGTTGATAGGCCTGGGCTGGGGGGCACAGCAAGACTTGCCCAGCGCAAGGTAACCCTTCATTCTCATGCGTACAATCGCTTCTATCCTCATATCTTTATGCAGCTATGCAGCCCGCATCTAACTCTCTACCATAAAGCTAGGAATATCTTTGGTGTAGCAAATAGAGTTAGCCTACACTATAGACATATTAGCTCACTTACTATGCAGACTACCTATAGTTATATTTCTACCTGCAGTGGGTTATAGTGACTGTCATATAAGAACAATAAAACAGCTCTTCTTATAGAGGATACATTTTATCACACGCCTTCATACAGTGAAGTAGCTGCTTTCTAATCTTAATGGGGGTTTCCCAACATGCCATTAACCCCGTGCCTGTGTGGACGACGATCCTTGGTTATAGCACCCTGTAAGCAACTGCTTATTCCGTAATTGAGTTCGTCCGAGGGCTGTCCCCAACGATGCAGTGCGATGGCTTCTCGTCGGTATTGGTTGTTGACGCGGGGTCATGCCCCCCTCCTCACGGCCGATCGCAGAATCGCATCATTGCCAATGCGACAACGGGGCATCCCATCTATTCTACACCAAATAGCCTGGCATCCCCTTACCATTCAGATCTCAATGGCAAGCTCGCATGTTTATTCGACGCAAGACAAACTTTCTATCGGGATTGGGGCGGAGAATCAGCGCAAACGGCTCCGGTTCGGCGTCCACATGGTCAGCCGAGTATCAGGAAGCAATGTTTGGTCCAATGTGTGCCGTTCCATTTTCCCATTAGACAATAATGGTCTCAAATCGCGTGCCATGGCGTAATGTTTCCCCCCAATGGCCACCGCTCGTTGCCCGAAGCGGGGTGCAGTCGAGGCACAGCGCTATATAAGATACGGCTGAGGTCCTCTGCCGGAACGTTGTACCATCATCATCATCTCTACGTGAAGCAGCATTGAACGCGACACTTCTCCAGCAATGTCTCCATCAGCTACAGAGGCCGCGGCGGCCAAGGTTAAGGAAATCCAGGCCAAGGTATTGCCCGCGAATGAATCTCAACCTGCGTCCGACCTGGCGTCTCAAGATGAGGTGTTGCCCGAGGTCCGTACAGGACACAAGGAGCCGCTCAAGCCGTCCGGCGTTCTGGACCAGTTCGAGCACTTTGACGTGACGCCTATCATCGGCCGCGAGTATCCGACAGTGGACCTCGAGGAGCTCATGAGAGCCCCAAACTCTGACGAACTGATTCGCGACCTGGCAATCACAAGTACGTCCGGCGTCCGTCAGGATAAAAACACATGACTGACGAGGACCCAGTCTCACAACGCGGCGTCGTCTTCTTCCGCAAGCAGGACAACATCGACAACGCCCTGCAGAAGGAGCTCGTCCAGCGACTCGGCGAGCTTTCGGGGAAGCCGTCGACCTCGAAGCTCCACATACACCCCCTCAACAACTCCGGGAGGGGCGAGACCCGGGACGACGAGATCAGCGTCATTTCGTCGGCACAGTCAAAGAGGCTGGGCCTGAACCACTTCCTGAGCTATGACAAGAAACAAACGCAAAAGGGGCAATGGCACTCGGACATCACGTTTGAGCCGGTGCCAAGCGATTACTCTCTGCTGCGCCTCACGGAACTGCCAAAGACTGGAGGAGGTCGGTGTTTCCCTGCTCCTGCGTTGTTCCACTCCGCTGACATTTCCATCAGACACCCTCTGGGCCTCGGGCTACGAGTTATACGACCGGGTATCGAAGCCGCTGCAGGGTTTCCTCGAAACCCTGACGGCGACGTACGCACAGCCGGGCTTCAACGCGACGGCGAAGAAGAACGGGTTCTCGCTCTTCAGGGAGGCCCGCGGCGCGCCCGAGAACGTCGGCGAGCTCCTCGAGGCCGTCCACCCCGTCATCCGCACCAACCCGGTGACTGGGTGGAAGAGCATATTCGCCGTGGGCCAGCACGTGTCCAGGATCAACGGGCTGTCGGAGGACGAATCGAGGCACTTCCTCGACTGGTTCGTACAGCTGATCGTCGAGAACCACGACCTGCAGGTGCGGAACCGCTGGCAGAACGTGAACGACATCGCCATCTGGGACAACCGCTCAGTGTACCATGCAGCGACGCCGGACTACCTGAACGAGGACCTGGGCGAGAGGAAAGGGTCGCGCGCGGTGAGCATCGGGGAGAGACCATACTTTGACCCCCAGAGCCGGAGCAGACGGGAGGCCTTGCGGGCCGAGGCCATTGCCAGCCTGAAGTCAGGCTCGAGCTGAGGTGGAGAAAGAAGCGTAACAAGTGTAGTCCAGGTGCTATAGGATTTGCTGGGAGTGGGGTTGGGGGTTTATACGCCAGGTCGGGGGTTGGCCTTGGGTTCTCGGTGGTAGACTATTTCACAGTTTCCGGCTTGCTCTCACCATCTTTTGGATACATATCTTGAACGCATCATTTGGCCTGTACCTAAACAGAATATTACCGTGGACAGAGTTCAGGCGAAGGATAAGGGTGAGGTCGTAAGCCAACCAGTGCTCGTTCTCTCTCCCGGCTCCCAGCAGAGTTCATAGCCAACCCTGTGGCCGGTGCAACTGCTGGGTTAAACAGTGAGCTAGAGCATGTGCGTGCGGTGTGCATTCGATATCAGTTGCTGGGATCCAAGATGGGAAAGATGATGAAACAAAATAAGAAGAAGACGGTCGCCATCCCACGAAAAAGCACGTATTCCGACACGGGACAGCGGCAGCCGAGGCCGCTTGTCCCCGCGGCCCGTCGCTCCGTTTCCGAGCTACAAACCCTCCGGAGGGACACGGGAGGACAAGTCACTGCCTCCGGCCTCCAACCTCCAGCCCACCCGGAGCCGCTTGGCCTCAATGTTTCAGAGACAACCCAGCCTCAGATCTCCCGTCAGGGCCGTCACAGAACAGCCACTCAGGAGGGGTGATCTTGGCGTCGTAAACCCCTGCAGGCCTTGCAGGGGCGCCTCGCTGGGAGGGTACTATGTACCTATGTCTAAGCCGCATCGGGTAAACTTGACTGTTTCCCATACCTTTCGAAGCAGAAGCAGCCTCAACACGAACACCCGCCTCGAATCATGCGTCTCTGCGGAAGTTTCTACGTCTGTCGGTCCCAAGTCTGGTCTGCCCCAAATCTGGTCTGCCCTCCCTCTAATCCAACGCCCTGGGCTTCGAGAGGAACCATCAAGCCAAAGTTGAAACGCCCTCATCAATCAATGCCGTCGTCCTTCCCTAATTGCCTGTCTACTATATGTCGTACGCGGCTGATCACCGTGCATGTCGACGTTGCGCCATTCTCCGACCAGGGTGGTGACGTCTTCCCCCCCCTTTATCCGGTTTGAACGTCTCATGCCTGCTTAACTGTGTCGATCTTGCCTTGACCTCAACCCGGCTGAGTGGGCGATTTCACGAGCGGAGGAGCGAGATGGACGGCTGCCGTCGTATCTGCATCTCTCCCGAACGCCAGGCCCCGCAGCAGAGAAAGGGGGGAACAGAGCTGGCATCGCGTTAGCAAGAGTATGAATGTCCTTCTGCCCAAGCCGGCCTTTGGACAAATTGCCCCGCATGTCTTTGTGGAGCAGCTATTCTTCGCATGAAAGTCTCATTTTCATCGTATGAGTATCATTAACGAGGCCCGAGGTCCACGAACCCGGGTAATCTGAGCACATCTGGCGGCGGTGCTTATCAAAGACGCTCTAATTTTCCTATTGAGGAACACATCCGCCCCTTAGGCGCCTAGGTTCATCGGACACGATCGCACTCCCAAAACGGAACCGCTTCACCAGGGATGGGATGGCCACGCAGACCACAAACATGTAACCCGACGCCGAACTTCTTCCGTTTCCTACTCTTCCTCGAACCCCCCCCCGGCCCTCAAACAGGCCCGGGCCTGAGCTCCGCGGGAGTCGGCCACATGCACTCACACAAACACAGAAACATGCAAACACGCATCACCCTCTCGTCCTTTTACCCGTCAGCCCGTACAACCAACCACCATCTGGTCCAAGCACGCCGCCCGTCTCGCGGAATTCTCGGTCAAAAATCCGGAGCTGCATGCAATCTGAGCCCAGCAGGGAGATGGGCAGGTGAAAGGCCAGCAGAGGAGGGAAAAGGACAAGGGTGTTACCGCACCTGTCACAGATCATCTCCATCCATCCCCTGGTCATTACCCCTGACCCATCGTGCGCGTCCACATCGCCGGCCTTTACCCCTCTGCCCTCTTGATGAGCAGGGGTCGAATCGTCGCTACGGTTGCAGAAGCCCCTGTTGGTACACTATGTAAGGTCGAGTGAGACCCGCCATCGATCTTCGACTCCTCTGGAGTGTTCTTCTTTCCTTGTTTCCTTCTTTTCTCATCCGAATTCGCGTCTTTGACCGGACGCCAATTCTATCGACGTTCGTTAGAAATACAGTGTAACGCGATAACCCCTCGTCCTGGTCGACGAACATCTCGAGTGCGAGCCACTGGGTGGCGAACGGATCGAATACATTCATTTACATACAAATTTCGACTCGGCAACTTCCAGCCCGTCTCAACAACACGGCCTCACAACCTTGATCAATAAAGGAAGAAAAAGAAAAGAAAAAGAAGGGGATAAAACTATTCAAGCAATGGCCTTATGACACCAGACATTGCCCGACACCAAAACACACCCCAAATGCCCAACATGCCACCTCCGGGTCTCAGCGTCAGCACCGGCACCGGCTCCGCCCCGCTCTTCGCCCTCCGCGCCGTCGACCCCGATCCCGCCGCCGCCGCAGCCGCCGCCGCCGCCAAGGCGACCACATTGGGCACCCCTCCCTGGCTCCTCCTCGCCCGCCCAGAGGACCCGAACGAGTGGAGGGGCGCCTCTGTCTTGTTCATCGCCGTGCTCTGCGCCGTTATCGCGACCGCATTCGTGTGCATGCGCTTCTACACCCGCGTCCGCATCCTCCGCACTGTCGAGTGGGAGGACTGGACCATCCTCGCCTCCCTGGTGTTCGCCATCGCCACGAGCGCAGGCATGATTACACGTACGTCCCGCCTTTCTGGCTCCCTCCCAGGCCTCTCTCCGAGTTCCGATTTCCCTCATTTGTGCTGCACCATGCGCAAGAGATCGAGATGACTAACAACCACCACCCCCGTAGAACTCAAGTTTGGCCTCGGCGAGCACCTGTACTACTCCTGGCCCTCTTACCCGTCCTACATCGAGGCCGGCACCTTCACGAACCTCTCCTACTCCATCAGCCTCACCCTAACAAAGGTCTCTATCCTCCTCCTGTACATCCGCATCTTCGCCTACGACCTCGTCTGCCTGCTCTCCAAGATCCTGCTCGGGATCGTCGCCGTCTCCCACACCTGGATCATCGTCAGCATTCTTACAACCTGCATCCCCCTCAGCGCCGCCTGGAACTACGACCCCCAGGCGCCCCCGGTCTACTGCCACCCCTTCTCCGTCTTCTGGGCCAACGCCTGCCTCCACCTCGTCACCGACTTCTTCATCTTCCTCCTGCCGTTGCCCGTCATCGCGTCCATGCGCCTCCCGCGCCGTCAGAAGCTGGGCTTGTACTTTGTCTTCTCCCTCGCCTTCCTGTAAGTCCCGCCCATAGCCCTGTCTCGGCCCTGGCTGTTCCTCTGCGTTCCGGACACCACTGACCTCCGTCCGCCTCCAGCGTCTGCGCAATCTCCATCCTCCGCCTCGTCCGTCTCTTCCACACAGACGAGACCATGGAGCAGGTCCTGGACGTGACCTGGTCCGCCGTCCGTATCGCCAACGTCACCTGCATCGAGGTCCACGCCGCCATCATCACGGCCTGCCTCACCACCCTCAAGCCCCTCTTCACCCGCCTCTTCCCTAGCTTCGACGCTTCCCCCGCCCGCCGCAAAGGCTCCTTTTCCTCATTCACCTCCAAGGTATCATCGCACCCCGCCGCCGCTGCCGCGGCCAACCGCGGCGACTGGGAGAAGAACTTTTCCACAGCCAACCCCGAGGCGCACTATAAGCGGCCCCTCACCATCGGCACCAAGTCGAGCCGCCCGCTTGTGCGCCACGACACCTTTGCGAGCATCCTCGCGCTGTCGCCGACGACGCCCAGGGACGATGACGAGCGCGCCGACGTCCTGGCGTCCATGAGGCCCTCGGCCGGCCTTAAGAACGGCCGCCGGGACGGCGAGTTCCGCCTCGCCGAGGTCGACGCCGGCGCCCCGCTGCGGTGGCCGTCCAGGCTGGTCCGCAAGTCCAGGCTGCAGATGCCGCAGGGGGCGAGGACCCGCAGCTCGACGCTGCGGCGTGACACAGAGCGGTTCGGTCCTCCGATGCCCTAGAAGCAGATATAATGAGATACGCATGTACAACAATGGAAGGGGTGTTTCCGGGGGAGGTATTGTGGTTTTTATTCTTTTCCTTTTTTCTTTTTTTTCTTTTTTTTTAAATAGCGAACATGTAAAATAACACAAGCAGGCAGCGCGCACGAAAAGCGAGCGGGAAGACGGGCATCGTTGACAGCACGACACAGCAGCGAGCCAACTGGGCTCTGTATCACCACCAGGAACACACACTTGTATGGCGTTTGGAAAGGCAAACGGTGCTTGGGAGGGCATCATGTGGTTGTATACCCGTTCAGCGCAGAGCGCGCCCGGTCATAGTAGTACGAATAACGACGTTTTCCCTAAACGAAAATGGCCAACCGTCCCAGCTGCTCGTTTTAATGCCTGTCGGTCATCCGTATAGGTTCTTCTTCCTCTTATTTTTTTCCCGTTTTTCTGTGACAATCTCGATATCTGTCTCTCAACAGGGGTAAGCGACATGGAATCCATCACCAGAAAGGGCCGTGTTGTGCTCACCTGCTTTCAAACAGAGCCCCCTTCCTCCGCTTCTCATGGCTCGACGACCTCCTCGTCTGCCGTTGTACTGTGGCCCTTGTCATCCGATGATGCTGGGTTCCAAGATTTTTGGGGTCATCTCAGCCACCGGTCTTTAGGAGATGAGATCGGCGACGTTCATGGGCATCTCGTCGATCTGGGTAGAGTAGTACACTGCGGTCCGAGTTAGCTTCACCGTCTGCCAAAGAGCTCGGGCAGTACTCACACTCAATGTCGCGCAGAATGCGCACGTCTTCGCTGGTGACAAAGTTGATGGCGACACCCTTGCGTCCAAAGCGACCGCTTCGTCCGATGCGGTGGATGTAGTTCTCACGGTTGCTCGGCAAGTCGTAGTTGATGACCAAACTGACCTGCTGCACATCAATACCGCGCGCCCAAACATCGGTCGAGATGAGCACGCGGCTGTTGCCCTGACGGAAGTCCTGCATAATGCTGTCGCGCTCCTTCTGCGGCATGTCGCCGTGCATGCTGCTGACGGTGAAGTTGGCCTCGCGCATCTTGTCCGTCAACCAGTCGACCTTCCTCCGGGTGTTGCAGAAGATAACGGCCTGGGTAATGGTCAGGGTGTCGTAGAGGTCGCACAGGGTATCGAACTTCCAATCCTCCTTCTCGACAGCGATGAAGTACTGCTTGAGTCCCTCAAGCGTCAGCTCGTCACGCTTGACGAGGATACGCACGGGATCCGTCATAAACTTGGTCGTCATGTCGAGGACATCGTACGGCAGGGTGGCGCTGACGACGACGACCTGGGTCGCGGGCGGCAGGTACCGGTAGACGTCGTAAATCTGCTCGCGGAAACCACGGTTGAGGAGCTCGTCGGCCTCGTCGAGAACGAGCATCTTGATATGGCGAGTGCGCAGGTGACGGCGGCGGATCATGTCGGCGACGCGTCCAGGGGTGCCGGAGACGATGTGCTGGCCGTAGTCGAGCTTGCGGATGTCCTCGCCGACGTTGGTGCCACCGATGCAAGCGTGGCACTGGACGTTCATGTAGTCGCCGAGGGCCATGACGACGGACTGAATCTGGGTCGCAAGTTCGCGGGTCGGGGAGAGGACGAGGGCCTGGGTCTCGCGCACCGCCGTGTCGATAACCTGGAGCATGCTGATGGAGAAGGTCGCCGTCTTACCCGTTCCGGACTGGGCTTGGGCGATGGTGTCACGGCCCTTGCAGACCTGGACGATGGCGCGGGACTGAACGGCCGAAGGGGACTCGTAACCATAGGCATAGATTCCACGCAGGAGGTTCTCTGCGATGCGCAAGTCAGTGTGCAATCCTTCAATGGCAATGGGCAGAGGGGCGGTGTCTGGCAGCCTTACCCTTGAGCGACATGGACTCGAAGGTCGGGTGGACCGTGACCTCCTTGGAGGTGGAAAACTCCATCCTCTCCTCGGCCTTACGGTCGATTCCGCTGCCTTCCGCCATGATTACGGCTGTGTAGTGATCGGGACGGTGTGTGGTGATGGCGGTTGAAATGGGATTCGTGATGGTGTTCAGTGGTGTCGATGCAGACAAACGGCCGAAATTTCAGTGGGGCGCGCTGCAGCTTCAATGCGCGCGGCGGCTTTTCCATAACAGAACAGTGAGTGGCCCTTGCCCAGCGAAAGCCGCAACCGCCCCCCCGGCACGGAACATCCAGATCCCCGGGCTGTGGGAATCAGTCCAGGGTTTGCCACAGGGCGGTTCCCACAGCGCTTACCTTAGCACCTTGGGTACCTACCTAGGTAGATAGCCTAGGTACCTACATCGTACCACAGCTCTTCCATCACCCAGAAACCGGAGCTAAAGCGACCTTATTCAGTGGACCACTCAGCAGTCGCGCTCGCCCAGAAGGTTGCCGACCTCGAATTTTCCCAGGAGCCTTGCGACAACACCATCGTCAACACTCCCCTTCCCCCCCAAAAGACAATCACACACGCCCGACTGATACCCACCGCGCGCGTGAGAGACAATGGGCGTAATCGAAGAGCAGCGCTACCTTCACGAGGACCTCGAGCGCCTCGAGCAGGGCATCGCCGACCGCATCAGCGAGGAACCGAAACACATCCGCGACCGCCTCAACCGCGACCACGAGATCGCCCAGCTGCTCGACCAGATCCAGGCGCAGTCTGTCAAGCTCCTCGACATCTACCACGACGCAGACGGCGATCGGTCGCGCGAGATCCAGAGCATCGGCACCGGCGACCCCTTTGAGGAGTTCTACAGCCAGGTCAAGGATGTGCGCGAGCACCACGCAAAGTATCCCAACGAGCAGGCCGAGAACTCGGAGGTGCGTTACCGCGTCAAGAAGCCCGACGACGGCGAGATTATGCCCTACATTGTCGACCGCCTCTTCACCGGCGAGGAGGGCTTCGGCCGCTTCTTCGACCTGCACACCTGCCACGAGTCGTACCTCAACCTGCCCAACGTCAAGCGCCTGTCGTATCTCCAGTACCTCGAGGTCTTTGACAACTTCATCCCGGGCCACGGTGGCCTGAAGCGCGCCGACAAACTGACGGACCAATACTTCAAGTATGTCGGCGAGCTGGCCGAGTACCTCGAGTCTTTCATGCGGCGAACGCGGCCTCTCGAGAACCTCGACAAGGTGTTCCTCGGCTTCGACAACGACTTTGAGGCGGCGTGGGACAAGGACGAGGTGCCGGGATGGCAGAAGGAGGACGGCGCCAACAGCACGACGCGGGAGCCGAGCACCGCCGACGCCATCTGGTGCGACGACTGCGAGAAGGAGTTCAAGAACGAGAACGTCTACCGGTCCCACATGACAGGCCGCAAGCACATCAAGGCCGCCGAGGCCCGGAAAGCGCGCCTCGACGAGGGGGCCGGGGACGGAACCAACGGCAATACCAACGGCCACCGGGTGTCGGCCACGCGACTCAAGGAGCGGGCGGTGGCCGAGCGCGAGTACCGGGTCAAGCGGCTCGCAGCGGCCATGAGCACGGAGCGCGGCGACACGCGCGTCAACGTCGAGCGGCGGCAGGGCATGACGGAGCGCGAGCGGCAGCAGGAGCTCGAGAACATCATGAACCTGTCGTACTCGGCGCCAGGCGGCGGTGGCATGCACGGCGGGGCGGACCACGACGACGACGATGGCGACGGCGAGGACGGCGAGGAGAAGATCTACAACCCGCTCAAGCTGCCACTCGCGTGGGACGGCAAGCCCATCCCCTTCTGGTTGTACCGGCTGCACGGTCTGGGCGTTGAGTTCCCCTGCGAGATTTGCGGCAACTTTGTCTACATGGGCCGGCGAGCCTTTGACAAGCACTTCAACGAGGCCAGGCACGTGCACGGCCTGCGGTGCCTGGGCGTCACCAACACGACTCTGTTCCGCGACATCACGAGCATCGAGGAGGCGGTCAACCTGTGGGACAAGATCCAGCGGGAGGCCAAGAAGTCAAAGGTTGACGAGGGCAGCGTGGTCCAGATGGAGGACGCCGAGGGCAACGTCATGCCGGAGAAGGTCTACTACGACCTGCAGAAGCAGGGCCTGTTGTAAGTCCGGAGGGGACCGAGTCATATATCCGAGGACACGGGGAATGGATGGCAAGGGGAAAGCGGCTCGCTGGTGTATAAAACCATGTAATCCAAGACGAGAGACAAAAAAGGAGGGTGGGCGGCAACTGTAGATAAATGTAGACCATGTTTTCCTGTTCCCCCTCCCGGCAGCAATGGTCAGAGCATGTATCCGTTCAGACAAGAAGAAGAATAAAATGATACCTAGATTTCCGCACGTATGTCGCCTTGGCTACAATAATGCTGGGAAACCCTCCAGACACACCGCAGGCGCTGCATCTCGACGACCGGGGGGCGTGACATGACATGACGTGAAAGAATGGACTTGCCCAATTACTTCGAGCCAGACCGATTACGACAGCACGACTCAAGAGAGAGAGGGAGACGGAGTCAACTTGTCTCGGAGACGTTTACGTAGGTGGGACGCAAATTGAGGAATGCGGTGTGTCGTCATTTCGTGGAGACATAGTATTTAGCCGCACTACGTCACAGTAAAACGCATGTGAAAGGCATATATCCGTACATGTGGTAAAACGTCTCGCATCGTTCTTTTTCTCAAGGTTGCGGTGTATGGTCGGTTGGGGGGCCATGTTTTATACAGGCTCCCCCATCCTGATGTCTATGTAGTCTATCTCTTTGTACAGACCCCGCCGGGGTCGCCCTTTGATTTTCGCTGACCATGAAACAATCGCTTTTCCGAAAGCAAAAACAAAAATTCGACTTTTTTTTGTCTTCCATTCCTTTATTCCTTTCGATGGTTGGATGAAACCCAAATACCTCTCATTGATTGTCAGTAAACTTCTTCGGTTGTATCCGCCAAGTCGCGCCGTATTGATGTCCTAAGTAGACAAATGGAAAAGAGATCATTAACTGGCGTGATTTTCCTCCTCATTAAGTTGTGTAGTTCATCCCCTGGTATGTATAATGTGGGTGTCGGTGATTCCGAAGCAATAAGTCGTAACAAATCCTTCTTTGATTGCTTCAATTCGTGCCCAAACCAAAGAATAAACATTCGGAATGGTTCAGAGTTCAGTCCTCAAACAGGCCAGACATCTCTTCGAGAAGCTGGTCAGCCGACGGGCGCTCAGCAGCATCCATACGCATGATGCGGTTGATGAAGTGGGAAGCGGTGCGGAAATCAAGGGGCTCGACCTTGCGTCCGACGGTCAGCGCCTTGGCGGCCATGGCCTTGCCAGGGCGAGCACGCTCAAGGTAGGTCTCGGGGATAGCACCAAAACGACGCGACTGCTGGCGGAGGACCTCAAAGACGTAGCTGCGGTCGTGGTATCGAGCGTTGGTGGGGCGGAAGGGGTTGTAGTCGCCACCATGGAGGAGAGCAATCATCATGGAGCCAAAAGCCCAGATATCGCTGGCAGTTCCCCAGGGAACCTCCATAAGTACCTCAGGGCTCGTCCAGATGGGAGCACCGATCAAGAAACCCTTGGTGGCAACGTCCGAGTCAGTAGAGTACGAAGCACCCAAGTCGCCAATCTGGACATCGGAGAATCGCAGGTCAGGGTCTGCCTCGGAGGCTGAGGCGTAGTTAACGAGGATGTTGTCGGGCTTGATATCGGTGTGGATGTAGCCGTCCCTGTGGAGAGTGGACAGTCCACGGAGGACGGCGCGAGCGACAAAGCGGATTTCACGGTTGGTCAGAGGCTTCTGGATGGTCGCGTTCAGGAGATGGTCGTCCATGTGGCGGAGGACGATCATCGGGGCGTCCTGCTGGATCTCGTCGATGACAGGGCGAAGGAAGGGGTTGCCTTGAAACTTGCGAAGGACATTGTGCTCGTTCTGAGCACCCGAGATGCCTTGAACGCCCTTGACAATAGACTTGTTGCCCATAGGGTTCCTACGTCAGGTGTTAAAAACAATTGGCCTTATCGACGGTGTTGGAACAGGATGGACTTACGTAGCGATCCAGACACCTTCACGGATCTTCTTTTGAATTGTGTAGCGGCTGGCGTTTCCGAGGAGGATCTGGCCGATCTCGAGGGACGGGGTCCCGAAGGCGGAGGTGAGACCTCTGGGAATCATTTCGACTGTGCGGGTTGAATATGAACGAAGTTGTGTTTGGTATCGGCTGCGGTACGATGGTCTTCGGCGGTTGATTTCGTCCAAGTTTACTTCTTCAAGTGACAGCTTGCAGGGGCTGTCTGAGAAGAAACAGGTCGATCACGGTCATTAGGTGATGTAGGCCGCGATCGATGTCGTGGAGAGAAGCGCCTAGCACGAGAGTCCCGTCATTCGGATAGGATTGTGTGTAGAAAACCGGGTGAACAGGACTGTCCAGGTGTATGAACGTGTCGATCGAGTCGTTGAATAGTGTGAGATCGATAGTGTTGAGATGAAGGTCAGAGAGGCAAAGGCAGAATCGAGGAGGAGCAACGCTTCTTTAACGGAGAGTCGGACACTTTGTGGAAGTACCTTACAAAGCCAAGACAACCAACGAAGGGCAGGGGTGGTTGCGTGGCGTCGATATGCGCTTGGTGAAGGCGTGGACGTGGGTGTGGACGTGGGTATGGGTGGGGGGTGTGGAAAGTGGGTGAGATACAGGGTGGAGGGGAGGCAAACTTAGCAGCATTTAGGATTCGGTTTGGCACTTTGCTTGGTGTGGCACACGGATCACCTTGACTAGGTAGGTACCTAGACGGGCAGGACGAAGGAGGACCAAAATAAAAGGGAAGGAAGGTCCAGCCTTTTTCCTGATTGCAGCGGGATGCGTGAGCCGGACTTGGCAGAGAGTGGCAAAAGGGGGGGGGAGGGGAAGCGACGATACGTACCACATCTTCGCTGGGATCCAGGCGGTACGTCTCCCCATCACGCTGGGATACGGCTGGGACACAGATGGACAGAGATCAAGTTTGGGGAGTGCCGACTAGTGTTTGCATCGGCTGGACATGGGATTTAACAGTTGCCACCACTCGCTGGCGCCGGGTGCCACGTACTGGTTAGTTAGGGGTCGAGCGCGCCGCGGCGACGGTGAGGCAATCAAGTTTGCTCCAATTTAGTTTCAATGAATTCGGACGAAAGAGGGAGGGGAGAGGCAGCACAGAACCTTCTACTTCTAGCGGCCAAGACGGGGGAAATGTCTTTTTTTTCCCTTTCCTCCTGGTGCAATGACACCCAATCGGGCTGTGTATTTGTGTAATGGAGGGTGGCCCATCGGTCCATCGCCGTCGTCTGCTGCACCTGAACGCCCAGCAGCACACCGTAGCGGCCGTGGATGGTAGACTGCGTGCGGTCTGGATCGCCCATCCGAGCCCGCGTCGAAATGGCAGAGGGCAGTGTGTCCAACCGGGACTAAAGCACGGAGAAGAAGAAGAACCCTTGACCAAACTTGGGAGGGGAAGGTACTGTAGATAGGCTGCCCATCACTACGAATAGGAACAGAAGCTCCAGCCTGTTCCAGTCTGCTCCATGATTGACATTGGAAACCCTTGGGATCGACAAGGATGCGTAGCCGATGGAAGCTCCCATCACAGGCAGGGTAGGGTAGGGGTCCCCCTCCTCCAGCCCAGGTACGCGCTCACACCCCCCTTGGGATCTCGAGCCCTGTTGGCCAAGACCGCTGTTCACGAGGACACCCTCAGTGGCCAGTAGGTACCGCCTTGAGGTGAACTGGTTGGCTGCCACGGCATGCCGCTGTCACCGATGGGCCGGATACCTCTGTGACTGCATCCGTAGCTTGTTCAAGTGCTCACATAGTCGTATTCCGCCATGGCCAGACGTGTTCGGTGCACCGAGAATTCCGATGTTGCCATTTAGACACGCAACCGCGTGTCGAATGCCCAGCGGCGGGATGGTGCCCCCCTACCTCTTGTTCTCGAATCAATCGGCTTCGGCTCCCAACTGCCATAGTGCAATGCAGCGCGCATGCCGGCTGCAGGCTGACTACCTAGGTGACTGATCTGAGGTGTGTGGGCGAATGGTGAGAAACGAGAGATGATGTGTGAGTAGCAAATCACTGACCATACGTGTATTCCACGAGCCGCACGGCATCTTCCAGCGGCTGGTGACCCACGACGCCTCCAACACCGTGGTCGACAAGCCCCCCAAGCCGCAAGGCGCAAGCGCTGCGCCAGTCAGTTGAGGAAACCGACGGTTCCTTTCGACTGTAGTACCGTAGAGGGAGGGCAAGCTGCCAAGCTGCCTGGTCCGGTTCTGATAGCTTGGAAGCTTGAGCGCTTGGCTGCAGCCGCATCTGCACCTACGTCGTTGCCGTCCTGCACTTGCGTCGTCCGCATTCCTTGAATAGGTATACCTACCGGTAGATACAGCGCCAGGTGATGGTGTGCAGTGGTCTGTCCCGCAGCTGCACCATTGTGTCTCGGAGACTCGGTCAAGAACTTAGTATATCCTTACGGTGAGTCAAGTCAGACGTGGGGGAGGAGCCGAGCCGACAGCGTCGGATTGCTGCGAAACGAAAAGTGAACGAGGGACGCATCATCGGATCCGCGACAGGAAGGGGATCAACTTCCATTCACGGGCTTCTGTGCCCATCGACAAGATCGACTAATCGTAGTCTGTGGGACATAGGAACAGCGAAGGCCGATACCCACCAAGCGTGTTCCCAGATGTACCATCGTACATGTAGGACAGGAGGCAAATCGACGTGACTGATGCGCGCTGGGGATGGCTCGATGCGGCGGCGGCTTGAGCGTCTCGGCTTCTAGGACAAGCTCCAATCGATCGTGGTCTCGCGAAGGCTCGATCGGTATCGCCCGGTCACACCATGTTTTGGGTTTCTGGCTCGGGCTTCCGGGGTAAGTTGATTCCAGGGTGGGTGAATCAGTCGCTCGAATTCTAGGGGATGCCATTATGGATGATAATTGGCAGGCTTCGGCGGATGGCAATTTGAGACAGCCGGTCATTTGCATGGTTTACATGGTTTGCGTAACGTACGTAATTCGTCGTGATGGTAGACGATCTGGGTTGCTCGTCGGTAACAGGGAAGGCTCCGTGTCATCGATTTGCCTATCTGCATGGTCGAATCGATCGAGCACTTTGTCAATCTGACTTGGAGGCGGTATGAAACTCTTGTCTCTCCCCAATTGATGCCATTTGGAACAATTGGGCAGAATGCCGGCGTGTTCTGCTTTTTGGCAAAGGGATATATGATAGAGGACAAGGGGTTCAGTCGCCGTGAATCCGGCTCCATCGGAGTGTTGGTGTGAAAAGTGGAAGCGCTGTCGGTGTGTCGTGATCCTCCAGCTAGCGAAAGCCTAACCCCCGCGAGCTACGAGGGTAGGTTTTCTGGACGCAACGGGACGAAATGTCACGACATGGATGATGGAATGTCGAATCAAACAAACATTTAAAAGAAGAAAATCAAAAAAAAACATGGGGCAATTGGGGGCGGGGTGTTGTGGTCAATGGCCGGGGAAGACGAGAGACGAAGCCGGACGACGATGGCTTGGATGGAAGGGCAGGTGCGAAGTACGTACTTGATGCCAGTGGTAGGTACACTGCTTGCTCCTGCTGCCGGCAGCAGCCCAACAGCGGCAACCGGAAAGCACGACGAGACGGCCCCTGTTTCCTTCCTGTTCTTCGTTTCTCAACCTGAACACAACACCACACCACACTAGGTATTCGTACCTGCCAGCCAGCCAGCCACCACCCCTGGCCAAGTGAAAAAAAGGCTAAATGAGCAGCCACAGCCCTTCCCGGACCCAGAATGGCACTAGCGTCCTTTGCAACTCCCGACCGAAGGTTTCTATTTACAATGCACTCCACGCTATTAAAACGATACGGGACGCATGCCTACCTAGCTGACTTTGGCATTTTAGGTGGTTTATGACAAGGGATACAAAGACAAAGTCTTACGATCCAATAATCATAACTACCTCATCTTCTGTTGGCTCAGTCGCCCACACTCACTCCCTTTCCTTCTTCCTCCCTTCCCGTCGCCCCCCTAGAAACGCCACGGCTGCATCCCACGGTCAACCACGTCAATCTGTTTCACCGAGACGCTTGCTGCATTCCTCTACCCCAGCTTTGCACCCTCACCTGACCAGATCCAATTTGCTGGTTCCTGGCAGGATGCAACGCAGTAAACGAACTCCAGCTCTCCCCCAACTTTGGTCTCATTTCTCGCTGCACCTCCCCACGCTGTCCCGTCTGCACTGCACCTCAGAGTCCAAGACCTGGGGGGGGGCTGCTCCAAGACGTGGAGAGGTACCCGACTGTCCGAGCCCTCGGCCGACATCGCAGACTGTTGGCTACCGGTAGCCTAGCCTGCCTAGGTACGGTAGCTTTCTGGTGCTTACAGATACTCCTGGTGCAGTTACTGTTGCTACAGTCCCGAACCAAGCCCGAACCTGCGACCTGTTTGTTGCACACCGCTTTCTCATCGCGTCCTCGTTTGGTATCAGCGTCTAGACCCGTTCGTCTCGCCTCGCGTCGCGCATTAACAACACAATCAACCAAACAAGAATCACCACCAGCAAAACACACGCACACCAGGCCGCATACATTCACACCTCGACCGCTCCGCCTACCCTCCCTCGTTCTCGCAATCTTCCCCGGTTCCCCGGTTCCCCGGCCCCCCCCTCCCAACTCTCCCACGCAAACTCAACTTTACTTAGCTCGGCCCCCAGACCAGAACCCGACCTCGCCGACACACTCCCAAAACCGAGTCCGCGTATGCTTTCACAAGTACGCCGAGTCTAGACTCTCCCGCCGAGCCTGCGTCCTGCACAACTTCTCCAAAATACGTCGCACATCACAATGTCCTGACTCTGTCTGCCCTTCCCCCTGCCGAGTCATGCCTGTCCAGTCCAAGCCCATACCTGCCCTCTACACCGTCTACATCCTCCGTTCTACGGTGCGCCACGCCTCTCTCTACATCGGCTCCACGCCCAACCCCCCACGCCGTCTGAAGCAGCACAATGGCGAGGCTCGCGGCGGCGCTGCTCGCACCTCCCGCCTAAGCCTCCGGCCCTGGGAGATGGTGGGTCTGGTCTCCGGCTTCCCCGGCATGGTTGCCGCATTGAAGTTTGAGTATGATCTCCATCCTACCCCCAAAATGCAATTCTAAAAAAAATCTAAAAACAAGTCGCCCGTCTCCTTATCACCTCACCCTCTGCTTCGGATGAAGCCCCTCCCCCCCCCCCGACCACACCCCTCTAGCTAGCTTGCACAGGCTTTTTTCTTCCCCTCTGGTCGCCCGATGCAACTGCCCTTCAACATGTTAGTGTGCTCGTGCTGATCAAAAGGTAAACAGGTGGGCGCTGACCAACCCGCATCTGTCTCTGCACATCCCTTCCGCGTCGCGAATCACTGTCTCGGCTGGAGTCAAGCGAAACGGCCATCCTCGCCGGCCTCGAGCGAGTCTATCTTCGATCCTCTCCAATCTACAGCTACTACTGAGCGTACCTAGTTTTCGTCGCTGGCCGCTGACATTGCACTTCTTCGCAAAAGATGTACACAAGGCATGGCTGCTGTCGTCTGTCAACACGGCCGAGCCTCTGCGAAACACTTTGGATGTGGTCACCGACTTCGGCCCTGACCCTGCAGCATCTTCAGACGATGCCAAGTGGGGCATCCATGCCTTACCTCTCGACTACACACCCATCAAGGAATATATTGAAAAGGGGCAGTCCATCACGACCTTTGAGAGAGAGGGCCACTGTGTTGTATGCGCCGAGGCGCTCCCTCACAGGCAGGGACTGCTGGCTGTATGCCCGAACGAAGGCTGTGAAGGCGTCGGCCACCTGTCATGTTGGAGTCGTCATATACTCCGCAATGAAGGCGAACAGCAAGCGGTTGTCCCCATTCAGGGTCGTTGCCCCCAGTGTGGGGGCCATGTCCGGTGGGTCGATATGATGAAAGAACTGACGCTGCGGGAAAGGGGCGCGAAAGAGATCGATACCCTTCTCAAGAAAAAGAAGCGGCGAACCAAGTCTTGATAAGATCCAGATGGATCCAGATGGGTCCAGATGTGTCAATGGTGGATCTAGATTGCAGATTAACCTGCGATGCAACATCTCGGTCGGCCGGTGAATCCTATTTCCTCAAAACGCTCCGTGTCAGACTGGATTGTCATGATTCGGGTGACCAGGAACCACTTTTCGGTTTTTCGTCAGCAAAGGACCCTGCTTCGACCAAACGCCGATCTCACTTGACAGCCCAATTGCTACTCGCTTATCGTTGGAAAGGATAGTCCTGTTTGATCAACACGCGGGTTCTACTGAAAATTTTGTTGTCTGGTGGTCGTCAATCCTGCAGGATATGGCCAGGCCGTCTCTTTCCCACTCAATCAAAAGATTTGTGGTTCGGTTCAGTACAAAAGTCACTACTGTGCAGGACCATATCTTCAGTCAGAATCACAATGTCAGTATTGGTGAAAGCCTTCTGATGGTGTTGGAATGTATCCGTACTGTCGAAATGGCAGGAGAGATTGGTTGGTTGCGCGCCCCAAACCAGATGGTTTGAAACGTCTTTCCGTCCGGATGCAAATTTATTTACCGCTGGGCTAGGTGTCGTTGCCGGGCCCTCCGGCTTGGGTTTAAGTCAGACACCGAATGATCAACGGCCTGGGGATCTGCAACACCGATAGACCCTGACGCCACCATCCAAGACACTAGCTTAGGGCTTGAGGATCCGGCTGCAAACGTGGACGACAAAAGGTGTTGATCAGCTCAGGCGTAGCCGCATTGCATAGTCCAGACTGCCGACATAGGCACTAGGGCTGGTATTTGAGTCACGTACCTCGAATAAATAAATAGAATTTAATGCCTTCAAGGAGATTCTCGCTGTCTCCAAATAATGTCTCGAAAGTACCCATATCTTCGACATTAGAGGTGACCTCATCCAGCCGTGATCCACTGCTGAGCAGCTCGTCCGCAGCGTATGGACATGTGAAGCTTTCCGAACTGGATGGATGATACTCTTTGGTCGACCTCAACAACCATAACGTAGAAGGCAACGTCGCATGAGCGTTTTAACGGCTGCATTCGTCCTAGCGTTATTGTTTCCCCTTATCAAATCCCACTGGCGGGGGGGGGGGCGAGTTTAGGCCGCGGTCAGAGACGAAAGCGTTATTCCTTTCTTTCACATGACTGTAGCCCTCCCATCCCCTCCACGAGAGCAAAGCGACCGAGAGCTTACGACGTAACAGTAGGGAATACGGGGTTTCTCTGGAGTTCTGGACATATCACGGTGCGGATCGGAAAGTGAGACTGTGGGCTCTGACGAGTCCTATGTCGACTCCGCGAGGCAAGGAGGGATCTTCACCATCAGGCCAGCATGAGCGGTTAGCCGCGTGCATGGATCAGTGGTGACCGTCGCTCTTGAGATTCAGGACAGAAGTCTCCGTTGGGGTGTCATGTCAACACCCATGACCATCTGCGTTTTGTTTGTTTCTGCCCCGGGTGACAGGCTGCTCTCTTATAAGGAAGCGGACAGCAACATAATGCCGGCTCAGGTCGTGAATATGTAACGTATGCAATATGCCTACCTACTGTACATCAATTCTATGAAATGAAAGACATCCATATGATGAGCCTGCCATGTTAGTCTACAGGCCCTCGGCATCTGCTGTTCGTCAGGTGAACATAATGCAGGCAGATGGAGCCTCCAGCGGACAAAGGCCCGGGCGAGGTTTATTTCCTTCCCTTCTGGCCCAGGACAAACGAAAGGAGCAGCATCATCGGAAGATGAACAGAGTGCTGTTCCAATGGGAGGGTGAACCACGTGCAAAAACCTCAGGAATAAAAGACATACGGCTATATCAGATGATCTGTGTACTCTTATTTCGATCACCGGCGACCTGTGTGAGGACACTGCGTCTGATTGACTGCAAAGGGCTGTGACATGCAGTCTTTATTTTGATGGTTTCTTGGAAAGTTCTAGATTGATCATACGCGGTCGTTCCGCCTGACCCTGTTAAATAGGGGCATCGAATTTTACAAGTCGGGAAGGGGGACGGGAGGCAGGACGCGGTTCTTGTACAACAAGATGACGATTAATCGAACATAATTGGGCGCCAACAATACTCAGTCCATTCCCGCCCTTGCTGCTGGCTCAGTCTGGTATTTAATTGAAGGCCCAGCCCATAAATGGCGACGCCGTGTCTACCTTGTATCGGCCAGCATCAGGGAGAAAAGCGTCTACTCATAAACGGCCCTGAAACCGAGAGATTCGGCACAGATTCTAGTCCCGGTTCCGTGGGAATATTCCATGTGAAGGCCTTCAGATTCCACATGCCGGAGGCGGTGTGCCTGGAGGCAATGTTGGAAAAGATGGCATACTTGGTGCTGTAAATTTATGAGTCAAATTGGACTTCAGGGAGAGGATTGAGGCCCAGATTCCCGTAGCTGGCTTTTGTACACATTTAGTCGTGTCCAGCAAGTTCCATAGATAGTCATGGGTGAACCTAGTGTAAGGCGTTAGACGACCTGGGTAGCTGGTCTTACAGACATGGCTGGTACGTCAGTCAGACCATTGTGTAACTCGAGCTGTGAAGCTTTCACAACCGAGGTGATAGGTTGAACAGAACCACTGTTGCTAGTACGTTAAGCTGCAACCCGGCAATAGCTTTGTCATGTTGTCGCTGATGCTGCTGCCAGTACAAACGCCCACTAATTATCCCATTATTGTCCCCGGTCCACAGTTAAAGCGAGGTCTGAACTAACAGTTTCCCTGCGATATTGGGTAGTAGACTACGTGAAGGTATGGAGATCTAGTAGAAGCTAGGAGTGGCATTGCATCAGATTACACAAAACTATATCTTTTTCCATGCAGCGTAACTGGGACGAACCGCTTAAAGGGGGCTATAATAATGGCTTGGATCAGATGACGCTCAATTCTTATGTTTTGAGAGTGCTGTTAGGTGTGAATAGGTCTGGACCCCCTGCTTCTGATGCGAGGCCGCACGGAAACTGGTTCTCTCCCCATTTGTCCCGCAGAGGAAAAGTGTGCGAATATGCGAGGGTGTAGGCTTCAAATACACCCTCCCCCTTGCGTTTCTGCACTGCAAACACGCAACCGATATCCACCACGGAGAGGGAAAGCTTCTAACATATCTCTTGGGCTGGGATCCCCGTCGGTCACGTCACGGAAGCGCGGCTGCGGAAATGTTCGAGGGCTAGCATATGGCCTTGAACCGCAACCTTACCAACAACCATTTCGGACGCTCTTCGGTCCCATGACCACAGAGGGGAGATCTGTGGCTGCTTACTACTGCTGGCACGCCAAGGTCATCGTCACTGCTGCCCATCTCATCGCGAGCGGGTATCATACTGTTATGGTATCTACCTGGCGATATCTTCATGGGAAATATCGACCATGCAGTGGGCTCGGGCCTTCCGCTGTGCGCATCATACCAACGAGGCAACTGATTAATGGAATGCGAGTGAGAGCTACGTGCACGATTAAAAGCTAGCACCGATCACGTACCTACAATGCGTGCCTTCTGTGTTTATATAAAGCTGGGTTGGAATAGTTAGCACTTGGAACGATACGAGTCAAAGTGAAATAAGGCATTAGTCATGGGCGTAATATTTAATAAAATGCACAATGCTGGCCGTGGCCGCGGATGGAAAGAAACGGCAGGCCCCATGACTATAATCATGCAGAAGAAACTGAAGAGGATACCCGACGCCTCAAGCCATGTGAGGCACTCGCATAATAGTGCTGCCGAGCCGCCAGCATGGAGAGGTCATCGCCAGAGATTCGCATCAGATTCGCCAGAGTACGTTGCGATGGACAGTTTCAAGCAACATCAGTCGTCTGATTGACCCAGGCTACACTTGCATTGGACATTTCAGCGCGATCATTCTACAGAGAAGGATATACCAAGGCGTATAAACCGTGTCATATGGTAAGACACAACCATAGATGTTGTACCATAGCAAGGCAATTTTGTCAAGGGGCGTCCGAATGGTGTCTCTCAGCCCAGCGAAAGGTGGACAATCCTCGTCTCCAATCGCTCTTGCAACCAGAACCCCCTTCTTGCAGTCAGCTTCTCGTCAAGCAGGCTTTGAAACTTGTCCAGTCTGGCATGGATGTCATGTCCTACGTCAATGGCAACCGGCCAAAGGGTCGTATCGTCGGTTGCGGGATCTGAGTCCATCAACCGATGACTAAGCCGAGACCGAAGTGTGCGGTGAAAACTGAGCTAGGTAGCTGGCTGGCTGGCTACAAATTAGAAAGGCAAAGGGGAAAAAAGCTAGGGAAGGGGGGGAAAAAGGAAAAAGAGAGTCGACGCCCCCCCGCAAACAGGGCACATCCTCGCCCATGGACCGATCTGGGACGCTAGGCGGGTTTCTCCAACGTCATGCTGCTATGATTGGTTCGGTAAGCGATGGAAATTGGCCACCCCCTGTCGAGTCAGTGGCCGATATCAGATGTTGGTTTCCTTACGCATGGGCGGAAAGAGCGAAAATGGCGAAGAGGGCGAAAAGAGCGGGCGCAACAGGCAGCCTAGGCTTTTCCCAGTCACGTGGCCTGTGATACCATCAAGGCACCATGCGACTGGCCGCTATTTCCATGTAAGACCGGGTGCGTTATCCGCTGTATCGGCGACTGCGTCTTGTTCAATATTGCTTGTACTTACGGCAGATAAGATGATCTTGATCTGACGGTGCAGGGATGACTGCCTTGCCTGAACGTGTCGCATTCAGCATCTCAGCGCACTGCCCGTTGGGCCACCAGTCGCCGGATACATGTCGGACGAGCAGTTCGGAATGGGTATTGAACCCAATACTTTTTTTCCTTTTTTCTTTCTCGACGATCAATTGCAGGTATGCATCTCGTCCTGCCAAGTCCATTCACTCCACGTTGATAATGTACGTGTATACTACCGGCAGGCAAAGGCCAAGCGATGATTCCAACAATGTGTGCTGCAGATGTGGCGACCGTGCACCATAGCGATTCATGGCCCCCCCGCCACGACATCGTCGGCCGACGATGGTGTGTGTGCTGTGTGTATGCGTGTGTCTGATGTCGCATGTCGACTGACATGCGAGGTTACATTTGGAGCGTTTGTACCTGGGTACTTGGGGGAAGTGGGTGTGAGATGTACCTTGGATCCAACAAATCGCCATGACGGCAGGGTTGATTCTCGTCAAAGGGAGCGTGTGGGAAATGGCGCAGGGGCTAATTCTAGTGTACGTACTGTGTAGTAGCTCATCGCTGTCGCCCGCCTCCCTCGGATTAGTTTTTTCCGGTTTGTTTTTGTTTTTTGTGGTGTGAGACAAATACCCAGTAAAGCTCGCGAGTAGATATAACCTTGGTTGCGTGATTGAGTTTTCAGTTACATATGACCAGCAGTCAAAATGTAGTATGGCAGTCACAGCAGTCAGAGAGCGTTGGGGTGAAAGGCAGAAATAAAAGAGGCGTCGTCTAGTGCGAAGGGAGAAACAGATACCGGTAGATACCTACCTAACTAGGTACGCTAGAGATAAGTAGTTATCTACCTAGGTACCTAGGTGAGATAGCTGAGGTAAGCAGGTACTCAAGTAATCACTAAACCCCGAGGACGTCATGGACAGAGAGCGACGTACCAGAGGAAGTACTCGGTACTTCCGGAGGGTGACTTGACGTCCAGTATGGACCCACTTGTAGTGGGATTTTGCACCGACAGACGTGAACTGTCCCTTCCGCTCCGCACTTGGTTGCCCTTGCACCTGCCCCGTGGACGGTGTCGTTACTTCCTCATAGCCCCAGGTACCTGGACAGGACCCGTCGAACCTCCGCCCCCGTCGACACTGCTGCTTCTGCTCTTCCCTCCCTCTCCGTCCTCTCTCTCTGCCTGAAGCTAATATCCCATCCAACTATTGCTATTGCTTGCCGTTGCTGCTGCCTCTTTCGACCCTATCGCTCCTTCCCGTGCATGCCTGCTTTCCCTTTACCACACTTTGTTGCATCGGGGTCATTTTCTCTCGCCTTGCCTCGCCTCGCCTCGCCTCGCCTCGCAATACGCAATACCGTGCCTTGGTTGCCTCAACACCTTTTCTCCTGCCGCACAATTCCCTTTCCCATCCACATTTCTTCTCCTCCTGCCTCCTCCCCAATTTCACCCACACTACAACTAAACCGGCAGCTGCCCGTGCATCCATCCCATTCTCCTGTCCCTTCCTTTCCCTCCCCTCCTTCCCATTTCTTTCCGTTCATCCACTCGGCCCGGCGTTCAACTGCACCTTCCCTTCCTCTTATCCACACGATCCCACTTCCACATCGTTTCCTCCCCCAAACCCCAGTTTCCCTCCTACAACCCATCCGTCCATCCCATGACTCGGATCCCCTCCCAATCCGGTCATTCCCAAGTTGTTTAGCACATTCACTCGTCACAACCGTAAACACACATGTGCGCCATATTCAAACTGGATGCGAGCCACACCCAGTGAGTACTGTACCTTTCCCCCAAATTATATTTCGTTCTCGTCGTCGCCGCCGGCGCCGCCATCCAGAAGCTGTTGGTCATTTGCATCTTAAAGTTTGCCGAATGTACCATACATCTGACTTCTTCCGCCTGTCTACTTTTTCAGGTCCAACTCTTCTTCACAACATTTGTGAAATGCGCTCTTTTCCCTGACGACGCCTCGAAGAAGAAAACAAGAAAAACACAATCACCAGCCGAACAAATCCACTGCCTCGAACGAAAGTACCTAGCTCTCGTCAGCTCTGTGATGCGACAACCCTCCTAGGCTTCCGATTTCCGTTCGCTCGCATGATCTGTCACGGCACCAATTCTTTACCCAAAACCTTGTGACTGCGACACCAACGAAAGCCGGACTACTCTGCTATTGCGCCTGTCAAAACATATTTCGACCAACCTCTACCGAGAACACCATGGTGCCTGCCCCTACGACGGGCGGCACTGCTGCCTCCAACGGAAACGGATCCGCGAACGCAAGCTCGCGAGCCTCTCCGGCCGTCGGAGCCTCCAACACAGCCTCGGCCAAATCCAAGGCCGCTCAGGTTAACTCTAACGGCTACCACCCCACGAACCCCCAGGTTCCCCTTAGCTCCATGCGAAGTACCCCTCTCGACCTGACCTCGGTAGAGCGACGCGGACAAGCGACAGCGATCAAGGAACCTGTCAAGAGGAAGTCCCGCCCCCACGGCCTCGAAGATGCGCCCACCTACTGTCCCACGGAGGAGGAGTGGAAGGACCCGATGGAATACATTAAGAAGATTTCTCCCGAGGCCAAAAACTATGGGTTGTGCAAGATCATCCCGCCGGACTCTTGGAACCCGGATTTTGCAATTGACACAGAGGTGGGTTCCACCGTCAAGGCTAAGAAGCGTAGGCTCTGATGCTGCGATATGCTGATTGGTGCCGTCACGGGGTTCAATCTTATGCTGACATTGATACAGAGATTCCACTTCAGAACCAGGAAGCAAGAGCTGAACTCGGTCGAAGGAAGTGGGTTGCTACGAAGTCCATCACCTGACCATTGCCGAAGCTAACCATCTCAGGCACACGAGCAAACATCTCGTACCTCGACGCGCTCGCCAAGTTTCACAGACAGCAGGGAAATAACCTGCACCGCCTTCCTTACGTCGACAAGAAACCCCTTGACCTCTACCGTCTAAAAAAGGCCGTCGAAGCCCGCGGCGGCTTCGATAAAGTTTGCAAGCTGAAAAAATGGGCCGAGATTGGGCGTGACTTGGGCTACAGCGGGAAGATCATGTCCTCCCTGTCCACGTCACTGAAAAACTCATACCAGAGATGGCTTTGTCCATATGAGGAATACTTGAGGCTTGCCAAACCTGGGGTTCATCAACAACTGGAGTATGAAAACGGCGGCCCCTACACCCCCAGCCCTGCCGTCACTCCCATGAAGCGCTCCAGTGTCAATACCCCGTCCAGCGCTCGAGCTGACTCACCTGCCCGCAACGCCTCGGACGCGTTGCAGGCAAGTGTCAACGGCCTCAAGAAAGAGGGTGATCGGGATACCCCCATGGCAGATGCACCGCCAGCATCTACTCCTGTCACCTCAGGCTTCAGAGCAATCAACTCGGGAGGCTTCACTCCGGTCAACTCTGGCTTCAAGAGTGTCAACCGTCCCACACCCCAGGACGATATCGCTAGCACGCCGCCACCCAAGTCTTTCAGTCCTGTGAACTCTGCAAAGAACACACCGGATTACCGACCTTCAAACCTAGGTCCTGCTGCGCTCAAACGTCAAATGAGTTGTGACAGCCTTGATTCAGCAAAGAAGGATAATGCAGCAGACAAGGACGACGGCGATGCTGGAAGCAGCAGACGAAGCAAACGTCTCAAGAAAGGTGAGTGACTCTTCACTTTTTTGGCACAAGTACCAATCATCACAACCATCCCATGTCAGCAGCTGCACTGCCAACTGACCGTCACGGTGGGCACTGCATGCAGTGAGACACATCTTTGCATGGAATTTGCGGGGGGGTCTGCGTTGTTTTGCACACCATTCTCCCGCATGATTAATTGCTTCCGCAAGCTGCCATACAGTGATTGGCTACATGACACTTACTAATGCGTTTGAGTTGCAGATACTGTGCCCACAGTGGCTGGATCTCACATGTCCCTGTTCCGCCCTTCCGTGCCTAGGATTCCCCGTGACGAGGCATCGACCCCTGGCGAGGTGAGCCGCAATGCATCATCTCGAGTACTAATTCAAGACATTGACCCTCGGCAGAAATGCGAGCAATGTGGCAAAGGCGACGAGAGTAGCCCCCTAATTGTCTGCGAGTCTTGCGACCATGCCTACCACGGCACTTGTCTAGACCCTCCGTTGAAACACAAGCCCGACTC